AAAGGTGATGTTTCTCTGATTTCCCTCTCTGCTTCTTTATCCTTTGTGTATAGGAGGGCAACCGATTTTTTGGAGTTGATCTTGTATCCTGCCACATTACTAAAGGTGTTTATCAATTGTAGAAGTTCTTTGGTAGAGTTTTTGGGGTCACTTATGTACACTATCATATCGTCTGCAAATAACGAAAGTTTTAACTTCATCCTTTCCAATTCGAATCCCCTTGATCCCCTTATGTTGTCTTATTGCTATTGCTAGAACTTCAAGCACTATATTGAAGAGGTATGGAGAGAGTGGATAGCCTTGTTGTGTTCGTGATTTTAGTGGAATGGCTTTGAGTTTCTCTCCGTTCAATTTGATGTTAGCTGTCGGCTTACTATATATTGCTTTTATTATATTTAGGTATGATCCTCGTATACCCAATCTCTCCAACACCTTTATCATAAAGGGGTGTTGAATTTTGTCAAATGCTTTTTCAGCATCCAATGAAATGATCATATGTTTTTTTTTCTTTCAGTTTATTTATATGATGGATTACATTGATGCATTTGCGTATGTTGAACCAGCCCTGCATCTCTGGGATGAAGCGCACTTGATCATAATGGATAATTTTTCTAATGTATTCTTGGATTCGGTTTGCCAGTATTTTATTGAGTATTTTAGCGTCAATGTTCATGAGTGAGATTGGTCTGTAATTCTCTTTCTTGGTTGTGTCTTTGTGTGGTTTTGGTATCAGGGTAACTGTAGCTTCATAAAAAGAGTTTGGCAATGATTCTTCTGTTTCTATATTGTGAAACACATTAAGGAGTATAGGTATTAGCTCTTCCTGGAAATTCTGGTAGAATTCTGCATTGAAACCATCTGGTCCTGGGCTTTTTTTGGTCGGGAGGTTTTTGATAACAGCTTCTAATTCTTCGCGACTAAGAGGTCTATTTAGATTGTTCACTTGGTCTTGATTTAACTTTGGTAAATGGTATTTATCTAAAAACCATCCATTTCTTGTACATTTTCCAACTTTGTGGCATATAAACTCCCGTGGTAAGATCTAATGATTCTCTGAATTTCCACTGTGTCTGTTGTTATGTCCCCCTTTTCATTTCTGATCTTATTAATTTGAGTGTTCTCTCTCTGCCGTTTGATTAGTTTGGCTAGGGGTTTGTCAATCTTGTTGATTTTCTCCAAGAACCAACTTTTGTTTCATTGATTTTTTGTATTGTTTTCTGTGTTTCCATTTTGTTGATTTCAGCCCTCAGTTTGATTATTTTCAATCTTCTACTCCTCCTGGGAGAGTCTGCTTCTTTTTTTTCCAGAGCTTTTAGGTGTGCTGTTAAGTCTCCAATATATGCTTTCTCCGTTTTCTTTAATTGGGCACTTAGTGCTATGAACTTTCCTCTTAGAACTGCTTTCATTGTGTCCCATAGGTTTGAGTATGTTGTGTCTTTATTTTCATTAAATTCAAGAAGACTTTAATTTCTTTCTTTATTTCTTCCTTGACCCAAGGATGATTCAGTAGTTGACTGTTCAACTTCCACGCGTTTGTAGGCTTTCTGGTATTCGAATTGTTATTGAATTCTAACTTTATTCCGTGGTGATCCGACAAGACACAGGCGATTACTAATATTTCTTTGTATCTGTGGAAGTTTGCTTTGTTACCGAGTATGTGGTCAATTTTCAAGAAGGTTCCATGAGCTGTAGAGAAGAAGGTATATTCTTTCCTTTTTGGGTAGAATGTTCTATAGATATCTGTTAAGTCCATTTGATTCATTACCTCTAGCAATTCTCTTATTTCTCTGTTGAGTTTCTGTTTGAGTGACCTGTCCATTGGTGAGAGAGGTGTGTTGAAGTCTCCTACTATTAGTGTGTGTGGTTTGATGACTGCCTTGAGTTCTAAAAGTTTTTCTTTTACATAAGTGGGTGCTTTTATATTAGGGGCGTAGATATTCAGGATTGAGACTTCCTCCTGATTAATTGTTCCTGTTATGAGTATGAAATGTCCATCTCCATCTCTTCTGATTGATTTTAGTTTGAAGTCAATTTTGTTAGATATTAGAATGGCCACACCAGCTTGTTTCTTAGGTCCGTTTGCTTGGAAAACCTTTTCCCAACCCTTTACTCTGAGTAGATGTCTATCTTTGTGGTTGAGGTGTGTTTCTTGTAAACAGCAGAATGTTGGATCCTGTTTTCTTATCCAGTCTCTAAGTCTGTGCCTTTTTATAGGTGAGTTGAGTCCATTAATATTAAGTGATATTAATGACCAGTGGTTGTTGATTCCGTTTATTATTTTGTGTGTGTGTGTGTGTGTGTGTGTGTGTGTGTGTAGTAGAGTTTGTGTGTTTCTCTTCTTTGAGTTGTGGTTGTGAAGGGTCGCTAGATGTCTGGGTTATTGTAGGCAGTGATGGCAATGTTGGATTCCTTGGGTTGCGATTTTCCTTCTATTACTTTCTGTGAGGCTGGATTTGTGGCTACGAATTGTTTAAATTTATTTTTATCCTGGAATATTTTGTTTTCTCCGTTGATAGTGAACAATAGCTTGGCTGGGTATAGTAGTCTGGGTTTGCATCCATGGTCTCTTAGTTTCTGCAGTACCTCTATCCAGGATCTTCTGGCTTTCATGGTTTCCATAGAGAAGTCTGGTGTAAGCCTTATAGGTTTACCTTTATAAGTCACTTGACCTTTTTCCTTTGCAGCTCTTAATATTCTTTCTTTAATCTGAATGTTTTGTGTTTTGATTATTATATGGCGAGGGGACGGGTTTTTTTATCCAGTCTATTCGGCGTTCTGTATGCTTCTTGAACCTTCATAGGAATATCGTTCTTTAGATTGGGAAACTTTTCTTCTATAATTTTGTTAAATATATTTTCTGGGCCTTTGATCTGCATTTCTTCTCCTTCTTCAATACCTATTATTCTTAGATTTGGTTTTTTAATTGTGTCCCAGATTTCCTGAATGTTTTGTGAAGAGAATTTGTTGGATTTGCTGTTTTCTTTGACCAGAGCATTTATTTTCTCTATGGTATCTTCAGAATCTGAGATTCGTTCTTCTATCTCTTGTATTCTATTGGTTATGCTTGATTCTATAGTCTCCGTTCGTTTACCTAGGTTTTCCATATACAGCCGGTTCTCGTTTTGTGTTTTCTTCATTGCCTCCATTTCAGTTTTCAATTCTTGGACTGTTTCCTTTACTTGTTTGATTGTTTTTTCTCAGGGTATCGTTCACGGATTTACTTATTTCTTCAAACTTTTTGTTATATTTCTCATCCATTTCTCTACTCATTTCTTCAAACTTTTTGTTATACTTCTCATCCAATTCTTTAAGGGAGTCATTCATATCCTGCTTAAGGGACTCTATTGCTTTCATAATGGCACTTTTTTCTACTTCTTCTGGGTTAGAGTGTTCAAGTCTTTCTGTTGTAGGGTCATTGGGATCTGGTGTTTTCATGTTGTTTTTCAGATTGTTGGAGGTCTTGCCTTGGCGTCTGCCCATCTCTTCGTTCAAATGCTCTCTATTGGACCTTCTGGTAGCGGGTCAGGTTCCCTTGTTGGGCAGGGAATTCACTGATAGAATGCCTACCTTTCCTCAGGCAGGCTATTGAAGCACAGGCACTCCCTCTTTCCGGGATGCGCCTACAGAGCAGGCCCAGCGTGCAAGGCAGCTTAGCTGGCGAAATTTATGACCCCAGTGGGAAGGGAGAAATATAGGAATTTGTACCTGGATGGAAGCTGGGATGGCAGGTGGGAGAGCTTAGCAGGGTGGAACCTGCACTGCAGGGTGACCTGGGAGTCTACGGGGTCAGGGAAAGTCCAAGCTCCTCCTCGCCAGGCCCCTGCCGCGGGCCTGAAGCAAACTCACCCCTCCGATGGCCCTCTGGATGGAAGCTGGGATGGCTGGCACGGGGAGCTTAGCAGGGTGGAGCCAGCAGTGCAGGGTGACCTGGGAGTCTATGGGGTCGGGGAAAGTCCGAGCTCCTCCTCGCCGGGCCCCTACCGTGGGCCCGAAGCAAACTCACCCCTCCCATGGCCCTCTGGCTGGAAGCTGGGCACAAACTGTTTTAAGAGTCTTTGAAACCATACAGGCCTCACTGTTTGCATTTCTTTCAGTGTTCGTTTCTTTCAAGACTTCCGCAAGAATGAAGACTTATTAAGCGTTGGATGATTTTTCCAACCTAAAGTTCCGAAGTACTCCACAGTCCTCTAACAAAACCAGTCCAAGGCACAAAGCCTGTGGCTGGGGTTATCACAGCATCCCACTCTTAGTATTTGCTTTCTTTCTAGCTTTATTCAGGTGCTATGGCACACTCAAGGCCACCATCCTGCCTCAGCCTCATAAGTGCTGGGATTATAGGCATGCACTACCACTAAGTCCTTAAAATGTTAGTCATTTTAGTACTTACTATTGTAAAGAAATTCAGTGTTAAATTCTGCTTTTATTGCTAAATACTGTTCTTGGTTCTATATGAAAACAATACTGGATGCTCTGAAGACGATTAGTTTAATTTTATAATTTAATACACTAACAAATAAAAATCAGCAATGAATACTGTTTTGAGATGTATTGATTTAGAGATATAATTTATGAAAAATAAAATTTGCTTCTAGAAGTTGTATAGTCTTGTAAGTTTAGACAAAAGAATCGGTAGTGTTTGATGGGATGTGGCACTGTGGTTAAGTGCTTGCCACCATAAACAAAGCCCTGAGTCCAAATCCCAGCACTGAAGAAAAAAAAAATGGTAGAACCATATTCAAGACAAAATATTTCTACCACCCTAAACAATTCCCTTATCCTAATAAAAGTCTAACCTGGTGTCTTTGAGGAAATATGAAATCTAACTGGCCTTGAAAGTGAGTTCACAAATAAAGTTTTCACTCATGATTGTATAACTAATACCAGCCATACTGTTGAATTGTTTATATTCCAGAAAAATGACCTTTTCTGTTTAACTCTTCAGTAGAAGGATACTTTAACACAGCATCATGTTGAACTACTTTGTTCTTTGAATATTACAGAAGAAAATTCTACAAAACAGAGTGAGGATTTGGGAAGCCAGTTTACAGAAATTTTCATTAAGCAGCCAGAAAATGTCACTCTCCTGTTATCTTTGTTGGAGGTAAATAAGGAACATTGACCTGTCATGTTAATAAACTGCTTTTGTTGGCTTTGTGGATGTTATTGAGGATGTAATATGTACATACTGTCAAAGGAGTAAAGTTTGTTGTATCATGCTTTTTGAATACATGTCAGAGATCCTCGTGCATGCTATAGGAAATATGTAATTTATTAAAATAATATGCATCTTATTTCTAGTTTTACAAAGTATTTTATTGTTAACATTTTAGTTGATTTAATCAATTAACACTAACTCTTACTGCTTTTTATTTTTTAAAATTCATTTGTAAAGTTCACTGATTCTATTTTTTACTTGTAGCTTTTCATTACACTATTAGTTGAAAATAATGTTTTTCTTGAAAATAGGGATTACAGTTGTTAAACAGCTGGCATTCTTCCATTGCAGGAATTTGATTTCCATGTCCGCTGGCCTGGCGTGAGACTCCTGACTTCTCTTTTAAAACAGCTAGGGCCTCCTGTGCAGCAGATTATCCTGGTCAGTCCTATGGGTAAGTGACTCGGCCTGTGTAATTCTGAGTAAGAAGATGAGGATCGTTTTCTAGAAATAAGTGAAGTGATGCCTTAATAAATTGTGATCTAAATCACTGTTTGCGTTTTTAGTCTGCTTGTATGTTCCTCATGGTTATTCTCGTGTTCTAGGTGTTTCCAGACTTATGGACTTACTGGCAGATTCCAGAGAAATTATACGTAATGATGTAAGTTCAATTTGAGATGGGGGAGCCCACATGATGCCTTTTCTCTTTGTGAATGAAATCTTTTTTTTAAGTTAAGAAAAGTTAGTTTGGGAAAAGTGGGATGATGGTCAATCGTTTAGACCTTCTAAACTTGTTTTCTTGTCTTCTGCCTGGCAAGTATTTAGAGTTAAACAAACCATTTGCTCTTCAAATTTACTAATTCCATATGTTTAAGCTTTCTTTTTGGTTTTTCGTGATAGGGTTTCTCTGTGTAGTATTTAAGCTTTCTAAATATTGATGTAGAATTCCACCCCAAAGAGATGGCTCAGAGGTTAAGAGCACTGGCTGCTCTTCCAGAGGTCCTGAGTTCAATCCCCAGCAACTACATGGTGGCTCATAACCATCTGTAATGAGATCTGCTGCCCTTTTCTGGCCTGCAGGCAGAACACTGTATACATAATAAATAAATAAATCTTTAAAAAAAGAATTTCACCTCAGTAATTGTCTTCTGAGACATTAAATGATGTAAGTTTACAAAATGTTGCACTTGGCTTCCCCATTCTTATTTCACTGAATATGTGTCCAAAGAATTTTCACTGAGACTCTCTTTAACTCCAGAATGTGACTGCTGTGTAGTCAGCTTCCTTTCTAGTGTGTACTTTAATATTTGCATATGATTTTCTAACAGGTTAATGCAAAACAGAAACAGGACTAAACCAAACTCTTGTCTTGTGGTCCATTTAATATCTGATTGATTGATAGATAGATAGACAGACAGACAGATATAGGTAGTCTGTGTGTGTATGTGTGGTGTGTGTATTTTTTAAGCTTAACATTTAAAATTTTGTTCTAGTGGGGTTAGAGATGGCTCAGCAGTTAAGAGCATTTGCTACTCTTGGATAGGATTCAGCTTCAGTTCCTGGCACCAGATGGCGCTCACATGCGTCTGTAACCGCAGCTCCAGGGCATTCAGCACTCTGCAGGCACCACTCTTGTACATGGTACACATGCACTCACACACATAAAATAAACAAATTTTGTCATATGGATGGCAAAGCAGTATTATAGATAATAAAATGCTATAATATAACTTACAAAAATAAATCTTTATTCATCAATATTTAAATAGTTTTACAGTTTTTTTAATTTGTTTGTCTTGACACAGAATCTTACTCTAGCCCAAGCTGGGTTTAAAATTTGAGCTTCCCTCCTGCGTGTTAGCATTACAGACATAAATTTCTGTACCTGCATTACATGTTATTTTTTAAACTGTATTATTTAAATGAGCATCCATCTACTAGGAATAATTTGGGATGTTTTTCCATAATTAAAATATGACTATAGGGGCTAGAGCTATGGCTCAACAGCTTAGAGTATTTGCTTCTGTTAGAGAGGACCAGGGTTTGGTTCCAGTCCCCACATCCGTGAGCTCATCATACCTATTACTCTGGTTCCAATGAGTCAGGTCCTGTCTTATGGCCTCCACAGGCACTTGTATGATGTAGTACATATATAGACAAGCAAGCATGTACATACTTATTCACATAAGTAGATTTTTAAGTTAAATAAAATAGGACTGTATACCTTAAACTCAAGGTTTCTTTTCAGCCCCCAGTTCAAATAAGAAGCTGTTTGAATCATCAAATGAAGAAATTATCCTTCCCTAAGTCTTTGTTGATATCATCAGAATTTGTTTTGATTTTCAGATATAAAATTGGTTTTTAACATATGCCTACCTTGATTTTTTTTACTTCCTTAATTCCTTCTTCAAGCATATATTCATTGTACAAAATAAAACTATTACGTTTTTATGTAACTTTATCAGATGCTTTGTTCTATCTTAGAGTTTCTGTTGCTATGAAGATACACCATGGCCAATTGTGTCAAATGAGCAATTTTTTTTAAGATTTATTTATTTATTATATATAGTGTTCTGCCTGCATGTATACCTGCATGCCAGAAGATGGCACCAGGTCTCATTATAGATGGTTGTGAACCATCATGTGGTTGCTGGGAGTTGAACTCAGGACCTCTGGAAGAGCAGTCAGTACTCTTAGCCTCTGAGCCATCTCCTCTCAAGGCCCAGTGCAACTCTTATAAAGGAAAACATTTAATTGGGACTGGCTTACAGTGTCAGAGGTTTAGTCCATTATCTTCATGGTGGCATGTAGGCAGACATGGTGCTGGAGAAGAAACTGCAAGTCATCTATCTTGACCTGCAAGCAGGAGAAGAAACTGTGTCAGTGGTGTGGCTTTAGCATCTGTGAGACCTCAAAGTCTGCCCCCCACAGTGGCACACTTCCAAGGCCACACCTACTCCAGCAAAGCCACCCTCCTAAAGGTACCACTCCCTGTGGGGGCCATTTTCTTTCAAACCACCACAAATCTTTTCTACCCAGTATCCTCTGTGGCACCACCCCCATCATGGTTTAAGTCTATTTTCCTCTGACTTTTGGCCTTTTTCTTACTCTTGGCTTTGGTTTTTATTTGCAACAGGTAAGATGATTGTCTTTGTTGACTTGTGTTAATTTTTTGAATGGAGATTGTTTTATTTTTGTTGTAGCATGTAATGTCTTGGTTTTATGTTTTATACCTGTATTTTCTTGGTTTCAATTGACCTATTTAGCATAAGAGGAAAACAATCTACTAATAAATGTTGAGATTTTAAAATGGTAAACTGTGTAGATATTGTTTTCCTACCTTTAGTCTTTAAAACTCTATGGATCTGTGTGTGGTAGAACATGCCTTTAGCCCCAAGCACTTTGGAGACAAAGGCAGGAGGATCTCTGTGAATTTAAGACCAGTCTAATGTATACAGAGAGTTCCACAGAAGCTACACCTAGTTCTGAGACTCTTTGATATTTAAAGCAATAGCATGACTGAGGATTCAGGGTATTGTTCTATTTTGCACATAAGTATCCTGAGACATGGGATTTGTATATTTTGCTGAACGTTACACGGTTAGTAAGTAGAACATCTAGTTTCTGCCCACTTTACAGTCTCAGAGTCTCTCTGCCCTGTGTGCACTGGTATTGTTCTTTTGCAGTTAAATTCAAGCTGACAGCAGTAAGTCGGCAGGAGAATTGGATATCTAAATTCTTTTTTAACTTTCTTTCATGTTAGTGTTGAAATTTGAAAACCATGGAAAGATGTAGAATGAGTCCAACGAGATGTGGGTATTCTCAAATTTGTACGGAAGCTTAGCTGCCCATCAGTAATAGCCAACTGCTCATCTATCATGGGACTCAGATAACCTGTTTGCTTGAGGTCCCTATGTGCCAAACCTCTTCCTCTGAAGTAGAAGCTGTGCTTTTTACCGTGAGATATTTATTGTCTCTTTCACCATGTCACCACCTATGAACTCATAAGTACTTGCTGTGTAATACTGAAATAATAGGCTGGAGAGATGGCTCATCGATCAGAATGGTGACTGCTCTTCCAGAGGACCTGTATTCAATTCCCAGCACCCTCATGTCAGCTCATAATTTGTCTGTGATTCCAGTTCCTAGGGGTCCTATGCCTGCTTATGGCCTCCATAAGGCATGCAAGTAGTATAAGGCATATATGTAGGCAAAACACCCATATCCATAGACAGAAATGAGTAAGAAGCAGTAATATAAGGTTTTCTTAATGGTAAGTGACAAAATGTATAAACTTATGCAGCTTAATAAGCTGGAAAAAGATAAAAGGGCAAAGACTTAATTTAATTTAACCTTTCCTTTGTGTGCCAGCTATACAGCTCTATTTGACATTCAGCAGCAATGGGGTCTCATCCACATTGACTGTAGATTTTGAATTGTATTAACAGGGTCATAAGTTACTATTATACACTGTGGAGCATTCCTTTTTCCTTGGCACAGATAGTTTTGTTGAGCTCTTATCAGTAAACACATCTAGAGTCCCCATGTGCACACCTGGAGCCCCATCTCCTCCATGACGAATTATGGATTTTTCTGAGTGCCCATGGACATGCTTCTTGAAGCCCACACCGTGGCTGTCCTTGTAAAATTGACAGTGCATTCCTGGATTACTGCTTCATTGGTGGCAGGATAGCCGTTTTCCCTACCCCAGGTCGGCAAGGATGGGCTCAAAGGCTGTGGGAGGAAAAGCTGTACCACGAGTACCTTCTTTTGCGCAGGGCATACTATTCATGAGGCATGAATTTTCATTTCTGTTGATTTAAAATCAAGCTGTGAGAATTAGGGACCAGGTATTTGCAAGAATTCCTGAACTCTGTAGAAGTTCTGTTAGAATATGATGGTATTTGGTCATTTGTATTGTTATTTTAAAAAGAGTAAGTCTGAGAATAATCATTCTCTGCTTATGGAAACTACATGGTGATGGATGAGTATGCAGTCATTGTGTTTTTACCAGATATGGTAAAAAAGAGACCTCTTAGATGGGAACGGTTACCAAGCGCCCCCTCCCCCCATGACCTGTGACCTTCAGAGAAGCAGATTGTTGAACTGTCTCTGCCCTCTATGTGTTTCTGCATATATAGAGAGTGAAGCAGTTGGACTTGTAAAATCCTGTTTATTATCGGATTCTGTGATTTTACAGTAACTTTAGTGCCCAGTAAAGTTCATGCTCAAGCAAACGCCATCTTTCTTTCCCATAAGGGTGTCTTACTGCTGCAGGCGCTAACAAGGGGCAATGGAGCAATCCAGAAGATCGTTGCTTTTGAAAATGCTTTTGAGAGGCTACTGGACATTATTACAGAGGAGGGGAACAGTGATGGAGGTAAGAGGGAGAGGCCGTGAGGGCGGCTTGGTACTCACTCCCTTGGGGTGGTCACCATGGTTTCACAGCAGGACATGTGCTTGACTACATGATTTCAGCCTTTCTGGGACACAGGCCTGAACAGTCAGTGAGACAGGAACCCTCAACAAGTTATCACTTAGACAGAAGAAATGTAGCTCTGTGAACATCTAAGCTAGGTGGGGAAGAAAGACAGGAGTCTATCTGCATTGTGAGTGCACTGTGTGCACAACACAGAAGAGCACATTCACGTCTTCTGCAGTGTCAGAATTCCTTGAGGAACAATCAACTCTCATGGCATCGTGGTTTCAGAAGCAGCAACTTGCAGATCCCCCCACTTTGCCAACATGGGTTCTTTATTGATATCTTAATAACTAAGAATATATCCCTCAGTAAGTATATCATTGTATGTGTAGATATGGACTACATAGAGCTAAGGAGCTACAGTAGGGTTAAGAGTCTTCAGAAGTCAGGGAAGCTGATAGAACATGGAGTCTGTATGAGTAGGATAATGAACCAAACTGAGCTTCTCAAAAATACTGGAGAAGTTGCTGTAGTGGCAATTCATTTGTATTTTAATAAATAAAGCTTGCCCAAAGATCAGAGAGTAAAACAGCCACACTGGTCAGCCTTACAGACCAGGCAGCAGTGGCACACACCTTTAATCCCATAGCCACTCTAGTTTGCTATAGAGGTCGGGCAGTGGTGGTGCACACCTTTAATCCCAGTACTAGAGAGGAGTATAAATTAGGAGGAATCAGGTCTCAGCTCAGTCTCAGTCTGAGGATTTGTGGAGGCACGATCGCCATTTCGGTCTGAGGTAGAGGTAAGAGCCAGTGGCTGGCTGCTTTGCTTTTCTGACCTTCAGGTTGGACCTGAGTATCTGTCTTTGGGTTCTTACTGTTTGTGCTACAGGTTACGGCTGCTGGTTTTAACATTAGAGTGGACATGCAGGGTCAGTTGAGCTGGAGGAGCAAGGTGAAGGGATGGCCCTAGAGGCACAAAAGGGCAGATGAATGGACAGTGGTTTCAGACAACACAACAAGCAAATTCTTGTTTGTCAAGTATGTTAACAGGGACCAAGTAGACTTGAAGCCCCTGGGATAGTTGGAAGTTCTCTGTCTGTTCATCTTTGAGGCACGTACTGGATGGTCAGATGACAGATGAGTGGGGTTATCCCTAGTGCTGAGTGTCTACTGCTTTATGGGGAATCATACGAGGGAGTTGGACTCTTCCCTTGGTTTGGTGTGTCTGATGAGTTCTTGAGTTCTTTCATTAAAAATTTTTCGTGTGTGGGGCTGAAGAGATGACTCAGGTTAAGAGCACTGACTGTTTTTCCAAAGGTCTTGAGTTCAGTTCCCAGCAACTACATGGTAGCTCACAACCATCTGTAATGAGATCTGGTGTCTTCCTCTGGCCTGCAGTGCAGGCATATGTGCAGGCGGAACAACATATATGATAAATAAATTAATCTTAAAGAAAAATTTGCATGTTGTACAGTGGGTAGTGGTGGAGGAGGGGCTGCGTCTGTGTGTGGGGTTAGAGGACAGCTCTATGGAGTAGTTTCTCATCCTGCAGCTTTAGCTGGGGATGATCCAGGGATAAAGGCGGGCTCCAGGCTCACACAGCAAGCACTTGTACTCACTGAGCCATCCAGCTCACTAGCGCCTAACAAGTTCTTGGACTTTGTTTTCCTAATATGACCTTAATATGCCCATGTGCCCCATACATCTCAGTTCACCCCAGTAAATGTATGGGGACCCTTCCTGCTGTGTCTCACGGGTGGAGCTAGAAAGAGGGTATTATTCACCTGTCATCCTGCGTGCAGAATGGCCTTCCAGCCTCAAAATTGAGTCAAAGGCTGCTTTAAAATGAAGTCTGTCTGGACAAGGCACAGTACTGTTCTTTACAGTATAGAGGAACTTATGGCAGGAACAAGCTTGATCTCAAACATTTCTAATCAGTATCCTACTCATATCTTACCAACTCAAACTGCCCTTCAGTTATTGGTAATTTTGCCTTGACCTCCAGGTGCTAGGGTTGTAGCTGTGTGTCCTGAAAACAGGTTAGAAAATAAATCTCTTTTTTAAAAGGGAGAAAATTATTTGGTTGAAGACTTGAAGGTCTCAGGGAAACCATAAAATAACAAAATCGAACATTTTGGAGCCAAATTTGCTTTCCTTTGAGTTTAAATATTTTAATTGAGCCAGGCATGAGTGATGCATGCAAATAATCCTTGCAGATAGCCTGGTAAAACAAAGAGCAGACCCTGATACAGTACCAAAAGCATGATCCTTAAGAGGAAAAAACTGACAAATGTGGCTTCATTAAAACTGAAAAGGTGTGGGGCTGGAAAGATGGATCAGAGATTATGAGCATTGACTGCTCCTCTAGAGGTCCTGGGTTCAGTTTCCAAAAACCACATGGCGGCTCACAATCAGCTACAATGAGGTCTGGTGCTCTCTTCTGACGTGCAGGTGTGTACGCAGGCAAAACACTATATACATAATAAATAAATCTTTTTTAAAAACCTGAAAAGGTGTATAAGTCAGGCACAGTCTTTAATGCCAGCACTTGGGAGGCAGAGGCGGGCTGATCTCTGAGTTCGAACCCAGCCTCCTCTACAGAGTGAGTTCCAGGACAGCCAGGGCTGCTACACAGAGAAATCCTGTCTTGAAAAGCCATAAAAACAAATTTGCAAAGTTGTGTTCTACAAAGGACTCTATTAAGCAAATTCAGTAACGGCATGGGCGGGGATAAAGTGTTACTAAAACTTGTCTGAAAGAGGACTTAAAAACATAATGGTGAAAAGAAATGGAGATTTAAAACGAGTCAAAATATCTGAACAGATTCTTCATTGAAGAAGAGATTGCAGTTTGCAGTAACATACAAATAAACTCTCAGCATCATGTCATTAGGTGATTGCAATAGAATGGCAGTGATGAAAGTCCAAAATTCTGATTCTACCAGATGCTTTTGAGGGTGTGGAAAACAGAAATGTATTGCTGATAGAAATTCAGAGGGGTGCATCCAGTATGAAAGACAGTAACAGTTTCTTACAAAGCTAAACACAATCTTGCTGTGTGATCTAATGGTAATACTGCTTCATACTTATACATATTACATTAAAACTTATATCCACACAAAAACATACACTTGATGTTCAGAGAAGCTTTTTATTCCCATTTCTAAGACTTGGAAGTAATCAGGATGTCCTTGAGTGGGTGAATGGATAGTGCTAATGGGTTCAGAAAATTGGATCTTACTCAGCAATAAAAGTTGTCAAGCTGCAGAAAGGTGTCAGGAACCTTAAGTGTACGCTGTTAAGTGATTCCAGTTTAACAGCTTTCTGGGAAAGGCAGTAGAGGCAGTCATCTGGGATTTGGATAGGGGAAAGGGGATATAGGGCAGTTTTTTGTGATGGGAGTGTTGTGTTTGGTACTGTAATGATAACTTCTCAGATTCTACATTTGTCAAAACTCAGTTTTTCAGCGTGAAGAGTGAACTGTGATCTTCAGCACTTTGCCAGCATTTGAGCATCGCTTGTAACAGTGCTTCACACTAATGGATGGTGACAGTGAGGGAACTCGGGAGGAGAGCAGCTGGAGGTGCCGATTGTCCTGGTTCTCTGACTATAAGCCTGCTCTAAGAGGCAGGCGCTTAGATTGTTTTTCACATCTACTTATTTAGTGTGTTGTGTGCCACAGCACATGTGTGGGAATCAGAGGACAGCTTGCAGGAGTGTCTCTCCTACCACGTGAGTCCTGGGGATTGAACTCAGGTCACCAGGCTTGTCATCAAGTGTGTTTACCCCACTGCACTTTTATCTAGCAGGACCAAAGGTGTGCGTGTACTAAGGCCTAGAACAGTGAGCACCTTGAACACTCTCTACTTCACAGAGGAAGCAGGAACTCGTGATTGTTCTAACACTTAGTAGAAGTCAGAGGGAAAGTCTTCACTGAGATGATAACAGGGGCTGTAGCGTGGGTGAAATTGCACACGAGAGTGATATTTGTAAGCAGAGAAGTAGAAGGGTGTGGCAGACAGGAGCCATGAGAAGTAGCCTAAACAGCCAGATGAAGAAACCAACCACTAGGGAGAGGCAGGGACAAATGTCAGATGGGTCTCAGAGATCATATAAAGTGGGATGGAGTCAGTCAATAAATGGTTAATATTTAATACATAGCTGAAGTCTTTTTCTTGTCTTTGCCAGGAATGCAGAGGTATATAGGACATTGACAAACTCCTGTGTTCGTGGATTATAATGTAGTGGAAAGAACAAGCTTCCAGAAGGTTGTGTGTGACGCTCTAACCTAGTTCTTGAGTCTTGCCCATCAGTACTGAGCACTTAAATACTTACTGGTATTTAAGCTTGTGTGTGAGTGTGGTAGATGGCTTCTGTAATGGGTTGGACAGACAAGAAGTTGCTATGGGTGAGATAGCGCACAGACAGAGGCAGGCGGAAGGCTGGGATCAGAACAGGCTACCTGCTATACCATACTGACCATGGATGTGCACACTTTAGAACACTAGGTTGAGTTCCTTCAGATGTCATTAGCCTCAATGCCGCCATTTTTCATTCTTCCCCAGGTATAGTAGTAGAAGATTGTTTGATTTTGCTTCAAAACTTGTTAAAAACCAACAATTCCAATCAAAACTTTTTTAAAGAAGGCTCGTATATTCAGCGTATGAAACCTTGGTTTGAAGTTGGAGATGAAAATTCTGGTTGGTCAGCACAGAAAGTGACCAATCTACATTTAATGCTGCAGGTATGTGGTCTTTTTTTTTTAATATTTATTTATTTATTATGTATACAATATTCTGTGTGTGCCTGAAGGCCAGAAGAGGGCATCAGACCTCATTACAGATGGTTGTGAGCCACCATGTGGTTGCTGGGAATTGAACTCAGGACCTTTGGAAGAGCAGGCAATGCTCTTAACCTCTGAGCTATCTCTCCAGCCCCAGGTATGTGGTCTTTAGACATCACTGTGATCGAATTTTGTCAGGAATCTTTTCAGTGAAAAGAAAATCACTCCCATTTGCTAAATCCAGGATTTTTAGTTGGTTTTAGGGGAGATGTAAAACCTTTTTTTTTTTTTTAAGGATTTAAAAGAATCATGTCCTCATTACGTCCAGTAGTATGTTATATAAGAACGTTTTCGTTAACATATTAGCAGTGTATCTGTTTGATTGAGCATGTTATTGCATCGTGTGTGTGGAGGTCAGGACAACTTGAGGGAGACAGTCTTTTCTACCATGTGAGTCCCACACAGGGTAATTTATAACTCAGGTTATCAACAGCCCCCCCCCCCCCCCCCCCGGCAACTAAAAGTATATATTCTGTGCTGACCACGTGCTTGTCCTGTGCTCTCCTACTCTCTGCCTTACCCTCTCCCCTGCTGTTATCGCCTCAGTTCTCTAGATTGTGTTTATGTAAAAGTCTAAAAACCGCAGGTTGTGGTGGCACACCCCGATAGGAGTTGCTGAGGGAGGCAGAGGCAAAAGGATCACGAATTCGAGGCCAGCCTGGGCTACACATTAAAAATTTAAAAAAAAAAAAAAAGAAGTCTAAAAACCACAAATGACAAAAAATGTTTGATGTTTCTCTTTTCTATGTCTGGCCTATTCATTTAGCATGGCTATCTCTAGTTGGATTAACTTTCCTAGAAATAAATACCATTATTTTTTTAAGGTTTATTTTATTTTTATATCAGTGTGTCTGAGAGTATATGTGCCACTTGTGTATGGGTGCCCATGAAGACCAAAATAGAGTGTTGGAGACCCTGAAGCTGGAGTTACAGCGAATTTTGAGTCACCACAGATTCAGAGGTTGAGAATCAAACTTAGTGTCCTCTGCAAGAGCAGTAAGTGCTCTTAACCACTGAAGTATCTCTTGTTTCCCATACCTTCACACTTTATGGTTGAGAGAAATCTGTTTTGTATATATTCCAAATTTGTAATCAGTCATCTGCTGTTGGACATTCAAGTTGGTTCCCTAACTTAACTTGTGCATGGTGTTGCAGTGACCATTAATATGCAGATGTCTCTGTGTCCTTTGGACCTGGAGCGGTATAGCTGTGTTATGACATAGAGGAAAAAGTAAAGAATTTTTTGAGGGGCTAGAGAGATGGCTCAGTGGGTAAAAACATTCGCTGTTCTTCCAGAACACCCAGACTTGGTTCTAGCATTTATAATAGGGAGTACACATTTGCTGGTAATTCCAAGTTTCAGGGATCTGATGCCCTCTTCTGGCCTCTTCACATACCAACAAACACATGGCTTGTTCATTCATATAGTTTCACACACACAAACACACACACACACACACACACACACACAATAAAAATTTTAAAAAGGGTTTGGGGATTTAGCTCAGGTAGAATACTTGACTAGGAAACACAAGGCTCTGGGCTGGGTCCTCAGCGCCAAAAAAAAAATTTAAACAAAAAAAACCACAAGAGTTAGTTTTCTCTTGAACATTTTATCTTCTCTCTCTCTCTCTCTCTCTCTCTCTCTCTCTCTCTCTCTCTCTCTCTGAATCTCAGTCCTATTTCCAATTTACTTAACACCAAAAAAAAAAAATTTAGAATTATTTTAAAGAAAGATCAGTTTAAAAAATTATATTACTAGCTAGGCTTGGTGGCACACACCTTTAATCACAGTACTTGGGAGGCAGGCTCAAGAGGATCTCTGAGTTCAAGGCCAGCCTAGTCTACAGAGTTCAAGAGAAGTATATTACTGCCTAAAAAGTTGAAGTACATCATGTAAACAAAGAAATGCATTATAGTTCTATGTATTATGAATTACATATATATGTATATTTTATGCTGTGTAGTATAAAGTACATCTATATGTAGGTTTGTTGTAGGGTTTTGTTTTTTAACTTTAAAAAAGTAGATCAACAGCTGGGCAGTAGCACACACCTTTAATCCCAGCACTTGGAAGCCAGAGGCAAGTGGATCTTTGTGAGCTCACGGGCAATCTGATCTGCAGAATGAGTTCAGGACAGCCAGGGCTACACAGAGAAACCCTGTCTCGAAAAATAAAACAAGTGGATAAACCTGCCTTGCCTCCCTCGCTGAAATGTCCCTTTCACATGCTTAGTGAAGACCATGGACTCCAAGGCAAAGGACTGAGATTCGTTCATCATAAGATTTTCTCCACCTCAGGGAAGCAGTAGTTGAGTCCATGGCTTTGCAGCTGCAGTTGGTCTTTTTAGACACCTGCAGTCTCTCTCTCCAGTTTATTTAGATTTGCTTATCTGAAAGTACACCATTGTTTTCGTTAGAATAGCTGTGCCCAGATGGAACTGTTTCATTATATTCATTGTTGCAGTTATAATCCTAAGCCTTTGAAAACTGGAACTAATATACTTGGAGGAGAAGAGGTTAGAGCTTTTCCTCTGAGGAGTTGGCTGGTGCTCTCTCTCTCTCTCTCTCTCTCTCACTCCCTCTCCTTCCCTCTCTCTCTCCTTCTCTTTTGCTCTCTCTGACTTTATTGATAGGTTCTCACTATGTGGCCCTGGCCTGTCTCCTGAGTGCTGAGATTTAAGATGTGCCACTACACCTAGCAAAACACCACTTTCAGATCTTTTTTTTTCATTAATTAATTCATTGCCTCTCTGCCCCTCTCCAGAAAGTCATCTTTATCAGGGAAACAGAATCTGTGGTAGTCCTGTCTGTAGTGATGTTAGTGTTTAGTGTTTCAGTTGAATTCTTTAGTATATCTGCTATAAAGTCATGGATGACATTTGTCCGGCACTTTTATTAAGTAAGTTTTCTCATATATATTATATTAGGTATAAAAAGTTTTTTCATATAAATCATATGACTAGTTTGTAAAAATATAAGCCATTGTTTAGTTATTTTGAAGATGTAATTGGGCCTAAATAATGGTTGTTTCTGAAACTTAGTGTTAAGATTCAGAGTAATCATGGAACTGTAGGGCTTTAATAATGAAACCAGCCCCACCTAGTGCATGAGTCTCTGTCAGGCCTCCTGCTGTTAGCTTTAGCCTCTTTATCTCCAGGGTTAGAGAAAGTCATGGAACTCAGGCCGCCTCTTTCAGACCCACTTCGTCATTAGATAGTTCCCACTTTCTCTGCTAGGAGCCTGCCATCTTGTACCTGAATTTGAATTGTACAATTTGAATTTGAATTGTACCTGAATTTGAATTGTACAAAAAATTCAATTTTGTATTGAATGTCTTATTTGTAAATACTGTGTTTGTTGTTTCAGTCCAGAAATGACTGAAGCAGGTACTATTCTGTGAGAGTTCAAATCAACTGAGAGGGATAACATTAAGCAAATAGCAAAGTACTAACACTGTTGCCTTAGGAGAAAGGCGCCACCTTTAGCTATGGTGAGCATATTAGGGAATATCCCAACAGATGGTTCTGTCCACATGGGTCAGCTTTGTCTCACACCTCTACAAGTGATTTTGAGACGGAGTCTCCTCCTGCCTCCACCTCTCCGGTATGCAATACCATGCCCTGCTGCAGATCTTCAAAAGGCAAATTTTATCTTGTTCACAGCTTGTCCGAGTACTAGTGTCTCCTACCAACCCCCCTGGTGCGACCAGCAGCTGCCAGAAGGCCATGTTCCAGTGTGGGTTACTGCAGCAGCTTTGCACCATCCTGATGGCTACGGGAATTCCTGCTGATATCCTGACCGAGGTAAATGAGGGAAAGACAGAGGCCACTCTAGGAGTTGGGAATCCTAGGAATTAGACACTAATTGAAGGAAACGTAGTAACAGCTAACCATTTTTATGATAGCTTCCTCACATACTACATGATAATGGCAGTGTTAGTTTCAAAAGGCATATTATTTTCTTCAGGTTCCATAATGTACAATGTTAAGCTTGGCTGATTGTCGTAATCAGGGTCTCTGTTGCTGTGCAGAGACACTATGACCATAGCAGCTCTCAACTCTTTTTTGTTATTGTTGTTTTGTTTTTTAGGCAGGATTTTTCTCTGTAGCTAGCTAGAAATACACCAAACAGTATTGAAATTAATATAGTTTCTATGTGATTATTCATGGCTGAGTGGCTGAGAAACAAATGTGTAGTCTTCATAGTGACACACTTCCTCCAACAAGGCCACACCTTCTAATAGTGCCACTTCCTGTGTGCCAGACATTTAAACACGTGAGTCTATGGGGGCATACCTGTTCAGACCACCACACTGATCATCTGGAAATGTTTTTCATTAGTTTTTTGAGGGAGGGGTTGGTTTTTTTGTTTGTTTGTTTTGTTTTGTTTGTTTTTTTTGGGGGGGTGGGGTTGTTTTTTGAGACAGGGTTTCTTTGTGTAGCTATGGAGCTCGTCCTGGAACTCGCTCTATAGACCAGGCTGGCCTCAAACTCATGGAGATCCGCCTGCCTCTGCCTCCCAAGTGCAGCCTAAGTGTCTTTTTAAATTATAATTGCATCATTTCCCCTTTCCCTTTCCTTCCTCCAAACATTGCTTCTCTAAGTGACATCTTTCAGGTGCTCAGTGACTTCAGTGAGTAACCCTCAGTGGCCTAGGCAGCTTCGTCAGTGTTTCAGTGGGTTTTTTTTTGTTTGTTTTGTTTTGCTTTTTTGTTTTTTTGAGACAAGGTTTATCTGTAGCTTTGGAGCCTGTCTTGTAGACCAGGCTGGCCTTGAACTCACAGAGATCTGCCTGCCTTTGCCTCCTGAGTACTGGGATTAAAGACCTGCACCACCACCACTCGGCTCTAGCTCATTCTTATATCTTAAATTAATCCATTTCTATTAATCTGTATATCACCACTTGGCTGTGGCTTACCGGCAAGGTTTTGTCTGGCATCTGTCTCAGGCAGGGCTACATGACTTTTTGCTGACTCTGCCTTCTTTCTCCCAGCATTCAGTTTAGTTTTTTCTGCCTAACTCTATTCTGCCCTTTCTATAGGCCCAAAACAGCTTTTTTATTAACCAGTGGTATTCACAACATACAGAAGGGAACCCCACACCACCTCCCCTTTTCTGTTAGATAAAAAAGAAAGTTTTAACTTTAACATAGTAAAATTACGTATAACAAAACAGGTAACAAGCAAGAATTACAGTTATAATATTATATTTACTTTATCTTTTATCAAACTAAGGAAAACTATAATTAATACTGCCTATTCTTTAACTCCATCAGAGACTCCAGAAGGATATAATATTACCTAAGTAAACAGGAAGTGCATTGTAAGCAACTTTCAAAACTTTAGAATTGACAAAGACATCTCACTTCCTGGACAGTCACCCAAAAGTTTTTCTGTATCATTGGGGCATCCATCTTAAGCCTACAGGCCCATAGTATCTAGCAGACTTCCATGAAGCAGGAAATTTCAAAGACAGTTCCACCTATATTGGCAGTTTGTCAGTCACTTTCTTCTGTGTCCTGCAGAATGTCTGACAGTCTCTTTCATGAAACAGGAACCCCAGAGGACTGTCTCACCTTCAACAGTCATTTCTCTCTGGGTCCTGCATGTCAAGTTCACACAGCATAACATCAAGAAGTCCATGCAAGAGTTTCTTGCCCAGATGACTAACCAACGATATAAGGAACCTCTTCGATGCCCATCCTCCTCTTGAAGTAGATTCGTGCTGCCAGGAGCAGATGAGTCTCAGTGTTATGAAAAGACCTAAGTTTTTAAAATATTTTAAATGCTATATTTTGAAGGTCTCTGAAAGATTTGAAGAATACGTATATAACTGAAATATATCTATCTCTATATATCTAGAAAACCTAACTAGTATGACTACAAATTTGACTATTAAAGATGACTATTCTGCATTTTTAATTATACATTATATTTTTAAATGAGTTGCATAAACACAGTACCTTAATCAAGAACAGACATACATATAACAACATTGACCGTAAATTTGTATCAGTTGACCAAGATTCATACCAGTACAAAGTATTCATATCTATAGCATATCCCCTTTAAGTGTAAACAAACATTTATAAATAATTTTTGGGATTTTGGACATAGTTCTCTCCAAACTGCTTCCTGCTTTTTGTTGGGTGAAGTAATTTTTGGAGGTATTCACAACGACCTTTTGGGGGGTCTTGGTCCATCAAACCACATTAGTCTGGAAGAAATCCATAGGTTCTCATCTTCTATGGAAACAAAAGAAGAACCTCTTTCCCAAAGCAACGTATCCTTAGACACAAATTTTGAAGTCAAGATCCCTCTAAAACAGATATGTTGGTTTAGCCTAGCAGCCTGTACAATGAAATATCTCTCTTTACTTAGTGCAACAGTCAAAAAATTCAAAGAAAACACAGTAATATACATAATCCAGACTCTGTGTATTTTCCATCTTTATGCGGCTTATTTTTCTTGATTCCTTTTAATCTGTGACTGTCTGTACTCTGTCTCTTTAAAAAACTTTGCTTTATTTTTAAAAAGAATACTATTTACTTCTTTTTATAATTCCTTGTACTCCTTTTCTTCTCTCTTCCAAGCCTCCATACATTTATCCAACACTGTGACCTATTTAGAGGTCTTTTTTTTTTATCTGAATCTGTCTTTATTGTGTATCTGTAATTATTTTCTGAACAAAAGCACTCTTTTTTTTTAAATGCTAAGCAGGCACGGCTAGGGCCAACACACCCTGTCTGCTTGTTCCGCCCAGTACAACATGGCGGAGGCATGTTCGCTACCTCTGAGAGCCATGTACATTGCCCCATTTTTAGGCATACAGTAGGTCTGTGTTGCCATTAAGCAAATTGCAGCACTCTGCTCACAGACCCCACTTAAATGCTCTGTAGCCCGACCTCCTGAAATAGAACCATTCTTGCTGGCAAACCAGGAAGCCTTCTTAAAGGAGCCGCATGGTTTTCACTGCCAACGCTGAGTCAAAAAGACCTCTCTCAAACTCACTGCCATCAGAGTCCATCTGAAAAAATAATTGCTGGCTACCAAGAAGCTGTGCTTAACTCTGTTCTTTTATGTCTAGAATTCTTTTTTAAGTTTTCTCAGGTTTTACATGGTTATAGTTGACTACGTTGGTGTGCTAATTTGTTGTAGGAGGTCACTCATTCAGTAACTGTATTAATTAAATCTCTGCTTGGGCCTATTACCTCTAGTTTCTTATTGGCTAGCTCTCACATCTAGATTAACCCATTTCCATTATTTTATATTTCACAACGTTCGTGGCCTACCGGCAAGGTTCCATCTAGCAGCTCACATCTTTCCCCTCTGGCAGCTACATCGTATCTCCCTGACTCCACCTTCTTTCTCCCAGCATTCAGTTTAGTTTTCCCTGCCTAGCTCTATTCTACCCTTTCTATAGGCCCAAAGCAGCTTCTTTATTAATCAGTGGTATTCACAGCATACAGAGGGGAACCCCACATCATTTCTCTCTGTTTTAAGTCGGTCTTGTCTCCAACCCCTAACCCAATCCCACAGCTCTCTTATTTTGCTTCTTTCTGTCATGCCAGGATTGCTTTTTGAAATGTATGTTAAAATTAGTAGGATTTATGTAGAGATATAACATTTGTGAGACAGGATATCACTCTTACTAGGCCGGCCTTGAACTCCAGATAGCACTCCTGCCTCAGCTTCTTGAGTGCTGATGTTACAGTCTGCTTTTTAATTTTTGGATCTTTTCTTTAATTCTAGTTTTCTGAAAACTACTGGTGCTAACTGGGTTTCGTCCCCATTCCAGCAGTGATGACCCTTTCCTCCTGTGGGCACGCTCTCTTCTCCGAGAACAGTGGCTGCTCTTCCTTGATAGCATCTGTTCTGTTCTCCTGGAACTTTGTTAACAAATTTGTAAATTTTTTAACCTATGAATATCTTTAAAAGGAATTTTTAGTTGATAATAATGAGATGTGTTTATTATGTGCAACACTGCTAAAATATTGTTTTTCTTTTCATTATCTTTTCTTGGAGGTTGTTTTCGACTTAATCTTTGAATTGAATGTTCATTATGTTGTTTTTTAAGTGTGTCCATTGATCTTATTTTAAAGTGTTTCTCTGGTTTGTTGGGGACTGGGAATAAGTCTCACCTCTTACAGTACAATTATTATTTTAGTTTGCATGAGGCTTCTAACTGCATGCAGTCAAATCTTCTGTTTGGTTTTGGTTATGATCTGGTCTCATGGAGCCCACAGACATGCTGTGGAAATGGGGCTGACCTTCAACTTGTGTTCTTCCTTCCTCTTGCCCCCCAGTGCTGAGATTCCAGGCCTGTGTCCGTGTCCAGTGAGTGTTGGTTTTAATGAGGCCTGGCTGGGCATCCTGGGAGGATCTCCAGAGAACATTTCAGCATGATCATGTTCTAACTGTTCTTTTCATGTCTGAATTTTGACACTTAAAAACAAAAAAGCAAGATGTAACATTTTCTTAGAAAATAGATTTTTCCCTTTTAACTTACTTTCCATAGTGTTCTTTTGTTTTCATTCCTGACAGACCATAAATACTGTATCCGAAGTTATCCGAGGCTGCCAAGTCAACCAAGACTACTTTGCTTCTGTGAATGCACCTTCAAATCCCCCAAGGTAAGAATCAGGAAATGCCAGGTCCTTGTGAGGAAGTCAGACTTAGGTTTGCATGCTAGTAGATCTCATATGCCCATCTTACTCTTCTTAAAGGTCAGTGTGTGTTGTGGAATGGCCCAATAATATAAAGATATTGGTAATTAAGACTATGCTTCTGTTTAAGAATATTGGTGACTAAGATTGTATACTTCTGTGTAAGGATGTTGATGATTAAGACTATATGCTTCTGTGTAAGGATATTGATGATTAAGACTGTATGTGTTCTGTGTAAGGATGTTGGTAATTAAGACTGTATACTTCTGTATAAGGATATTGATGATTAAGACTGTGTGCTTCTGTGTAAGGATGTTGGTTATTAAGACTGTGTGCTTCTGTATAAGGATATTGATGATTAAGACTGTGTGCTTCTGTGTAAGGATATTGGTGATTAAGACTGTGTGCTTCTGTATAAGGATATTGGTGATTAAGACTGTATACTACTGGTACCTAATACTTAGTTCAGCTGCCAGCCTTTCGGTTGAAAACAAATCACAGGACTTTCTTAGCCTCACCTCCCTTCTTTCTGAAATGAAGATGAAGTCCTGGTTATAGTACTTCATGCAACAAAATGACTGGTAGGTGATGTATTTGGGTTGTAATGCTCTGTTTCATTCTTTTCTTTATACTCTTGTCAGACCAGCAATTGTTGTACTTCTCATGTCCATGGTGAACGAAAGGCAGCCATTTGTGTTACGCTGTGCTGTTCTCTACTGTTTCCAGTGCTTTTTATATAAAAACCAGAAAGGACAAGGAGAAATCGTGGCAACACTTCTACCCTCCACTATTGATGGCAAGTAAAGTTTTTTTTTCAAGCTTATATTTGAATCTTTGCTTATGTTTTAGCTATAAGTACTTAGTAACTTGGATGAAAGCCTTAGATTGGGTTGGAGGAGAGCTAAGTCAGACTGCACCTGGATCTGCATTGCAGAATTTCTACTTCTCTCTCCTTCTTAAGATGTGAGAGAATGTGGTACTTATCCATATATGGGTATGATGCCTTTAGAAAGATTGTGAAGATTACACACATGCAGTTTCACAGGTAGAGCCATGACCCCAAATCCTAGTGTGTAATAAACACCAGCAAATCAGTACTATGAAGATAAATCCTACCACTTAGTCACACTCAACATTTTGGTCTATTGTTCTACGATAGAGTATAACCATTACTTACGGATTCTCCAGTATTCAGTTTACTTGGGATGTGTTTAAATGGCTGTTTCCATATTAAGAACAATTTGACACAAACAATTGGAAACTTTAGTGAGTTCATTTTAATTACATAAATATAGGAGGTAGACAAAAATTTAAGTCTATTTAATTGTATTTTACCAAAATTATTTTTGTAAAGGATATTTTTATAGAGATGTTTTCTGTAAATGAAAGTAAGATGCTAGAGGTAGTGAAATAATGTGCCGTTTTAGAAATGATGTTTTTCATAAGATAGTTTTCTGTGTTGTTACCATCAGACTGATGCCTACCATGTTCTGATATTTCTTTGTGCAGCTACCCTTTTAGGAGTCGCCTTTCTGTCATCTGTCCATTTGTGTTTGAAGTCTTAGATAGTACATAATAGTGTTTATACTGTTCCGGTGTAGGAAACGGTTCTTCCGACCCTTGTGAGTGTGGGATTACTCCACAGGGCCTAACATTCCTGTCTGTTTGCAGCAACAGGTAGCTCGGTCTCAGCTGGTCAGCTGCTCTGCGGAGGTCTGTTTTCTACAGATTCTCTTTCAAACTGGTGCGCTGCTGTGGCCCTCGCCCATGCGCTGCAGGGGAACGCTACCCAGAAGGAGCAGCTGCTCAGGGTCCAGCTGGCCACAAGCATTGGCAACCCTCCAGTGTCCCTGCTGCAGCAGTGCACCAATATCCTTTCCCAGGTAAGGGCCGCGGGCTCCTGAGAGGTGCCGCAGGGTTGTCATGTTTGTGACCCGGGGTGGAGAAGGAGGGAAAGCACTCGCTGAAACCACATAGTTTTGTGGAGAGGAGGCGGAACTGTTTCTACAGGAGTAGTTCTACCAAATGGTATAAGGGCTTCAGCATGACAAAACACAAGTTCTTGGCACAGGGCTGTTTTGAGTTTTACTTTTCTTAAATTATCTGGGGTTTTTTCCTGTCTTTTTTCTCTTCTCATTGAGTTCAGATCAGTTAAGGAGAGAAAGTAAAGTAACTGCAAATCGTAGTTATGTGCCTCCCTCTTTTCTCCTAAAGCAGTTGATCCCCCCCCAATAAAACAACCCAGTAGCAGTCCATTCCCTATGCAGTATGTGCAGTGTATATTTCCAGGGTCTGAGTTCTCATATGCCTAGCAAGATACAGATGGACACAGCTAAGGCTGTGTGTTCCTTCAGCTGGTTAAGGAGGACAAGTGAAAGGCACTTGCCAAGGCGCTTGGGCGTGTCTCTTACTGCATGGTTTGCGCACGCACTTAGCCTTGACGACATACTTCGGCATACTTTAAAGCCAGAGTCCTGAAGGAAACTTAAATTATGGATGAACCCTTGTTCTTTCTACTTAGTCTAGCAGTGGAGGGTCCCTTCCGTGCTCCCACAGCACTGTGCAGTGGCCTGCTCTGTGGAATTTCATCACGCATTGCAGTTTCTTTGTTTTGAACTTTCTGTTGTCGCTGTTGCTGGGCAGTGGACTCTTTTCTTCATGCTTACTAAACACCCCCTACCATTGCGCTATGTCCCCCCAGTTCACAGGCCTTTTTTGAGCATTTTTACTAAAGAAATAATACCATTATTCATAGAAGTTAGGAGTGAAATCTAACTAATCGGAAGAGAGTTGAATGCTGTTTGAATTGGTTTACTTCAGTGGCCAATTTATCACTTCTCTCTTCATGATTTAAAAAAGAAACTAAAATTTTCAAATCTTTACTTACTTAATGCTGGATGCTCACTATTACTATTGAAAACAACTGTTGTCAAGTTGTGAAAACTCTGTCATGGGCCATAAGCACACCTTACCTTTGTAATTGTAATGTCTGTATAATGCGAAGACCTACAGTGGTGATGTCTAACCCCCTGTAAGTAATCACAAGGCTATGGAATGAACCTTATGTGCCAAGCTTTTCAAAGATTAGAGCTTTGTTGCCACTACGTATCTGTCAGCTTAGATTGCAGAGACTAGGAGCGTAGTTGAGGGATTTTTCTGGACTTAGGTAATTTAAAGCAATGTTTATGAATAATGTTTGATGTATAATTTGCAGGGTGATAAGATCGACAGACGGGTATGTATACTTGATAAATTGAGGCCTTTTCTTCTGACGGGCTTCTTGTCTTGGGTTTTGCAGTTGGTTTTTAACAGCTTGTTTGAAGTTCTGTTCTACTCACCTTCCATGTGTTGGCAAGTTTGTCTGTCACAAGTGACTCTCTAGTTTCCTCCATTCCCTCTTGGACTGGTTACTAAGACTATGGGGAGAGCTAAACCTGTGGCCTGGGCTTCTTCCAGGGTTGCTTGCACTGCCCTCGATTCCTCAGTTTTGTTCTTTATGTTGTTTCTCCCAAGTTTGTTTCTTTGTTTCCCTTAAAAATAATTTAAAGAAAGTCAAGTTTAGGGATAAAAGTCTGTCTTTTAATCAGTAGGTGAAGGAGGAATGTGTGACTTTCTACTACTTACATTATTTAAAATGTGCAATAGTAAATTTTTTGTAATTATAATTTTAAATGTAGTATTACAGATTATTCTGGGTATAATCTATAGGCTACAGGTACCATATTAGTTTTACTATGCTGGGGGAGAGTGTTATTTATGTTCAGTTTGGTTTAGTTTTTATATCTTAACATCCTTGTCTAGTCATGCATTTTAGTCATACAGTGCAACCAGCAATAAATGAGGTCCAGCTAGTTCCCCTTTCATGTGTGAGTATGGTGTGGTGTGGAGCTACAGCTCATACACGCATACTTGACAACTTCTGCCAGCAGTTACTGTTTCTTTGTTTTCCTGTGTGGTTCTGGGGCTCAAACTCAGGTCTTTCTATGTGCTAGGCAAGTGCTCTACCAGTGAGCCACACCTCCAGCCCCAGGATTTTTGATGTTAGGATGTGTCTTATAAGTATAAATGTCAAACATTGAAAAGACAGACATTATGTTTTCAATTGATTGGCTTGTTTTTTTTTTTTGCCACTCACCACAAATTGTAGAGTTATTTTTGTAATTTTATCAATGTTCTTATTCTTTGTTCTTAGAAGCTACCGCTAAAATTTATTCTGATCATAAGACACTAGAGCTACTTGTTTTGATTGGTTTTGAGACAAGGTCTCATTTAACCCAAGCTAGCCTTGAACTCACTATGTGGCTGAGGTTGACCTTGAACACCTAACCTGCCTCTACCTCCCCAGTGCTAGGGTTATAGGTAGACCTACTATGTCCAACTTCTAGAACCTTATTTTCATGAGAAAAAAAACTTAAAAATTTTAAGTGCCAGCTTTTTGATTACATGAACAATACAAAAATGTTCAAATTGAATGAACATAGTAGGCATAAGAAGGGCTTTTATTTAGAAAACGTAGTTGTAAAAGCATAATAGCTGATATTAAAGATTATTTGAAATAACTTCAAATTTTATTTGTGCCTGAGTGTGGTGGTACACACCTTAAACCTCAGCACTGTGGAGGCAGACTCAGGAGGATCAGTATATATGTGAGGCCAACCTGGTATGAATAGCGGGTTCAGAGCAGCCAGAGATGTACATGCAGACTCTGTCTCAAACAGAAACAAGGGCTGGTGAGACGGCTTGGTGAGTGAAGTGCTTACCTCACAAGCATGAGGGCCTACATTTTGATCCCCAGTACCGACATGAAAACTAGGTGTGGTGGTGTGCACCTGTAACCCCAGCACTCAGGGTCGAAAGCAGGTGGATCCCAGGGACTCCCTAGTCAGCCAGGGTATATAACATGATGGGCCAGCTTGTTGGAGTTTCTGCCCTGCCCAGTTCCCTAGCCTTTTAGTCCCAGAGAAAATCACACAGAGGACTTCATAAGATTATAAACTTATTGGCCCGTTAGCTCAGGCTACTTATTAGCTCTTATAGCTTATATTAACCCATTATTCTTTTCTTTGTTAGCCACATGGCTTGGTACCTTTCTCAGTGGGGGAGGTCACATCTTGCTTCTTTGGTGGTCTGGGCTGGACTGGTGAAGAATGGGTTTCCTCCTTCCTAGAATTCTCCTGTTCTTGTCGTCCTGCCTCTACTTCCTGTCTGGTTGACCTGCCTATATTTCCTGCCTGGCCAATCAGCATTTATTTAAAACATGATTGACAGAATACAGATAATTCTCCCGCACCAAGGGTAGCCAAAAAGGTGAGCTGCAGGTCTAGATAGAGGCTCATTTGACTCAAAAGAGAATGTGGAGAGAGTCATGGAAGATTCTTAGCATCCTCTATACACCCGTGTACCGCATTGGTACATGTGTGTTCATACACACACACACACACACACACACACACACCCCTCCGCCTCCTCTCCCTCCCCTCTTCCAACCTCTCCTTTTTTCTCTCTCTCTCTCTCATAAGAAATGAAAAACTTGTGTGTGTGTATTTATGGCTTTTCTTTCATCATTTCAAATCTATGTTTTTTAATGACTGAGTCCTCAGAATGCCCAGAATAATATCTTCAGTCTCCTTTTGTTTTCACATCTTTTCCATGGCTCACATTCTGTAGACTCCGGCAAGAGGTGTGTACTTGTTTTGTATTTTCTAATCTCTGCCTAGTTAAGGAGCTTAACTGTTGTCCTTTGATATAGCTTATGCACACACACATACGTTATTTTTCTTTTGACAAGTGCTTTTAATTTTAACCACTGAGCCAGCTCTCTAGCCCTGTACAGAGGTCAGAGGACAACTGTTAGGTTTGTTTTCCTTACTCGTACTCTTTACTCTCTGGGGGCTGCCACCCAGCTCCCAGGTAAATCACACAGAGGCTTATTCTTATTTATAAATGCCCAGTGTTAGCTTGGCTTGTTTCTAGCGAGCTTTTAACTTAAATTATTCCAGCTACCTTTTGCCTCTGGACTTTTATCTTTCTCTATCCTATTATACCTTTCTTTACTTTTGGCTCTGGCTGGCTATGTAGCTGGATGGCTGGTCCCTGCTGTCATCCTCCTTTTCTGGCTCCCCGAGCTCCCAGGTTTCTCCTCTTGTTTGTTCTCTCTGCCTGTCAGCCTGGCCTATCCCTCTCCTGCCTAGCTATTTGCAGTTCAGTTCTTCATTAGACCAATAATTAGACCAGGTTTTTTAGACAGGCAAAGTAACACAGCTTCACAGAGTTAAACAAATCCAACACAAAAGAATACAGCATATGGGCTGGAGAGATGGCTCAGGTGTTAAGAGCACTAACTGTTCTTTCAGAGGACCTGGGTTCAATTCCCAGCTCCTACATGGTGTTTCACAACTGTCTGTAACTCCAGTTCCAGGGGACCCATGGCAAAATACCAATGCACATAAAATTAAAAAAATTTTAAAAAAAGAATATAACACATCTTTGCATCATTATTAAACAAATGTTTCACAGGAACAAATGTCACACATCTTCAGTTAATATTCCACAGCAGACAACTTTCAGGAATTGGTTCTCTTTCTACCATGTAGTCTGGGGTTGAACTTAAGCTGTCAGGCTTGGCAGTACACACTACTACCTGCTGCACCATCTTGCTAACCCCCACTGGGGTTTTCCTAGGCAGCTCTCTAGCTGATCCAGTGTTTTAGTCTATCTAGGACACACTGATGGCCGTATGGTACTTTTTCCACACACAAATTCTTGTTTGTACAAGTCCATTTCTGGACTTTGGTTCTGTTCATTTTTCTCCATGATCTAGTATCACCTCATACTATCTTTCATAGTATCCTTAATTATTTCCACTTGTTTATTTTTCCATATGAGTTTAAAAATCAGATTTAGTTCTACGAAAGTAAAGTTCTTCAGGGACCTAAGGTATAGGTCAGTATTAGGAGTATTCGCATGGATAAGGGCTTGAGGTCACTCTCCAGCACTAAAAGGAGGGGAAAAAGGAAGAAATTTGTCTTTTGGTATTTTTGTTTGAGTTATTCTCTATATGCAGTGTAGATGAATCTGTTGTCAACCCAATAACTACTATAAGGAATTATAATCAAGGAGCTAGACAAAACAGCAATGTACTCAGTTGACAAAGATGTTTTAAACTGGCCAATTTCTGTGAATAACAGGAAGCTACAGTGTGAACATAAGGAAAAATAGCACATCATATAAAAACTAAATTTATGTTTGCCAGTGTGATGCACACATTTAATCCTGGTGTTCAGGAGGCAGAGACAGGCAGATCTCGTGAGTTTGAGGCCAGCCTGGTTTACAGAGCAAGTTCCAGGGCAGGTTCCAAAGATACAGAGAAACCCTGTCTCAAAAAACAACAACAACAACAAAAAACCCTAAATCCATTCCTCCTTGGAAGATCATTTAAAGTAGTTTGAAATTAATCAATATTAAAAACACCTGAAAAGAGCTTATAAATAAACCAAGACTGCAAGGATTATGAAATTAGAATAATCTGGGTGGATTTGAAGAGGGGCTAGAGAGATAGCTCAGAGGATGTAAACCCTTCTGCAAAGCCTGAAGATCTGAGTTCAGTCACTGGGACCCACATGATGGAAGAGACGCAAACTCTGATCTACACACACACACACACACACACACACACACACACTCTGACGTGTGTCCCACATACGTATAAATAAGTAAATGTGGTTTAGTTTGGTTTGGTTTTGACTTTTTCAAAACAGGGTTTCTCTGTATAGCTTTGGAGCCTGTCTTGGAACTACCTCTATAGACCTGGCTGGCCTCAAACTCAGAGATCCACCTTCCAGTGCTGGGATTAAAGGCGTGTGCCACCACAGCCCAACGTAAATGTGGTTTTTTTAAATAAAAAAAAAAAAAAAAAAACACATTTGAAAAGCATAGTGATAGTTAATTTATTTCTTGCCTCATTTCTTTGAATAATTATAATTTTTATATTTCTGAAAAATCTCCCAAATGAATTATTATTCTGACTTGATTATTTTATTTCAGATTTTGTTCTTTAAAAAGAAAAATAAGGCTATAAATAACATTGTATGTGGAGATTTATGTATGTAGTATTAAAATTTCAAAACCCATGTTCTTGTTGGACACCTAATTTTTAATATTATTTACCTTATCTTGGCAGCAGTGCAGTAAGTATGTTCAGGACATTCTTGGTGCTAGTGAGCGCACCCCCTTAGTTCTGTCTGAGATGTCTCTTCTGGTCTGCTGTCACTAGGTTTGCAGCGTGGGCTTTAATTTTTTATTGAGAGTAATACATTCTCTTAGAATTTGACTAAATGGCTTAGGAGATTCTTTTTGTGCCTTTTTTCTTTTTTGTGTTTTTTTCAAGAAGGAAGAATTTGTTTTTCTTTAGTCAGAATTTGTTTTTAAAATTCTGACTGAGGTTCTCTTGCATTAGATTTACCTACCTTGCACTTATACTTCTCAATAAAATCTGTTCTATTTTGCTAATTAAAAAAAAGATTAAAATATTAATTTGGAACTTTTATTTTTTTGTTTTATTTATTTTGCAATAAAAATTTTTTCATCCAATATGTTTTTTTTTTTTTTTTTAAAGATTTATTTATTATGTGCACATTGTTCAGCCTCCACGTATGCCTGCAGGCCAGAAGAGGGCACCAGACCCCATTACAGATGGTTGTGAGCCACCATGTGATTGCTGGGAATTGAACTCAGGACCTCTGGAAGAGTAGTCACTGCTCTTAACCTCTGAGCCATCTCTCCAGCCCCCCATCCAATATGTTTTGATCATGTTTTCCTTCCCCTGGCTTCCCCCAGATCCTTCCCACCTCTTTGCCCACTCAACTACTGTATGTGAAACATTTATTTTTGATCGCTTGTCTTGGGATTGGTGTTTTCAAGCTCCCACATTATAATTTTGTTCGTAGTATAACGTCTTTTGCTACTATTACAATTTATTTATTTATACAGATCCTCGGGTAACTCAGGCTGACCTTGAATTCACTGTGCAGTCCAGGGTGACTTTGAGCTTGTGATTCTCCTGCCTTTGTCTCCCAAGTGCTAAGATTACAGGGATGCACCACCATACCTGGGTTTGCTCAATGCTGAGGATGGAACCAGATCTTTGTACATGTTAGACAAGCACTGTACCAACTGAACAATATTCCCAGCCCAGCCACCACTGCTATTTTAAATAACCACTTGTATTGGTGCATATAAGTTAATTCTAATTTCTGCACTGTGTTTATTTGTGCAGCTTGTGGTAGAGACAAAAATGTATTCTTTCGTTCAGTTTTTAAGTTTACCTCCATTACACATCTCACAATGCTTCAGTTCTTTTTTCACAAAAGGGAAGGGATCTTAAGCCAATTGTGAGTTTGAAAAAATAATAAATACAAAGTGGTTTCTGCCAATTTATTTTGCAGGGAAGCAAAATACAGACAAGAGTTGGGTTGTTAATGTTGCTTTGTACCTGGCTGAGCAACTGTCCCATTGCAGTAACACACTTTCTTCACAATTCAGCCAATGTTCCATTTGTATCCTTTATGTTTTGGTGTCGTACATGTAAGTAACTTACATCTTTCAACTTCTGTTGAAACTTGAAAATGTTATGGATATATAATGATGAATGCTTAAGTTCTCACGCTCTCTCTCTCTCTCTCTCTCTCTCTCTCTCTGTATGTATGTATATATGTATGTGTAGTTCTTTATAGTACGCTAGAAATTTCATATATATATATATAATTTCTTGTAGAGAATCTTAAGATTATGTATTAAATTCAGATTACTATAAATCATTAACTCCTTAACAAAGATGTCAGCTTACAGGACAAATTGCAGAAAATCTCGGAGAGGAAGAACAGTTGGTTCAAGGCTTATGTGCCCTTCTTTTGGGCATTTCTATTTATTTCAATGATAATTCACTAGAAAACTACATGAAGTAAGTAAGGGCATAATGGCCCTCTGATCATCCAGAGATAATGATACTTTTTTTTGCTAAAGTATAAATAAACCAAGCTTATGACTTCGCAGTTTTTTAAGCATCTCATATATTTATTTATGTAGAGAGAAACTAAAGCAACTAATAGAGAAGAGGATTGGCAAAGAGAATTTCATAGAGAAACTAGGATTTATTAGCAAACACGAGTTATACTCCAGAGCATCCCAGAAACCCCAGCCAAACTTTCCAAGTCCAGAATACATGATATTTGATCATGAGTTTACAAAGCTGGTGAAAGAACTTGAAGGTAAGCTGTGAGGGTTGCAATGACCCAAAGCCATTGTGCGTGCGTGTACATATGTGTGTGTGTGTTTCTTTCTGGATGTGGACGAGTGATGAGCCGGGAAGTTCATCTGCAGCACATGGAAAGACTGGATTCTGTAAGATTAGAAAGTATTGCATGACCGTCATGAGTTGGACTAGTTTTACTCATTAGATTCTTAAAAATAAGTTGTGTTTACAATGAGCTAAAATGCTTAAAATTGAGCTAGAAAGAGGGTGTACTTAGCTCTTGTGAGGCCCTGAATTGAGTCTGCAGAACCACAAGAAAGCCATTCAGTACAAAGTTTAAGTAAGTTTTCTTTTACAGGTATTATTACTAAGGCTATTTATAAGTCCAGTGAAGAAGATAAGAAAGAGGAGGAGGTAAAGAAAACATTAGAACAGCATGACAACATTGTGACTCACTATAAGAATATGATTCGTGAGCAGGTAAGTACCAGTGAATTGTACTCCCAACTAGCAGCAGCTCTCTACTTGAGAGAGCATTGCTTCTTCGCATTTCAAGTGGGGGAGGGATGCAGAAAGTAAAGTTCGTTGTTTTTGAAAGCACCTGTTCATTAAATTGATCACTTACTACATTAGGCACTGTGCAGGTTGTTATGAATCCAAATGTGGATCAAATGGATTCTCTTGTCGTTTTCAGATGAAAAACACATGTCTGTATTATTGTGGCATATATGCTACAGCAGATTAAACCTAGTGCTAGAGTTAATCAAAGGAACCTGGGTGTCGCTAGTTCTCTAGAAGAGAGCTGGGGAAGAGAGGCAGGAGATGGTGCACAGCGCAGTGAGCCTGCTGTGGCTCCTGACTGTGAAGGAGAGGTGTCAGGGTGAAAGCTAGAGGGAGGGAGCCCAGGAAGGAGGTCATTGTGGTGGTTGGCTAGGGAAGGATGTTGATGTGTGCTGCATTCTGTGAACTCGGGATCTGTTTTCAATGCTGTTTCATTTCGTCTTCACAACATCCCTGTAATAGTGACTGACTATATTCACTTTAGGATAAATGGGGAATCTGTGACTTAGTGAATTCTCCCAGCAATTCTTCGTAATTGTAGAACAGATCGTGAGTGCATCTGCCTTAGTGACAGTGGAAAGCTCATACTCTCTGAAGTGTGGAAACTGAAGTTAAAACCTAGCAAGACTTGGTCATGTTTCTCTGCAGGTGTTAAATTGCAGAAATGGTAAAGTGTGATCCCCAGGTTTCTGTGGTGGGCAGCCGAGTGTGATCCTGTTAAACAGGCAGTTCCACTGCTAAACTGTTAAACAGGGTGATGATCAGAATGCTATTTTCAGCCATTCAGAATGCTAGTCGGTGTCCTTTACTCACGTTCTATTGCTCACTTTAAGCCTCTGTTATGTCCTTTAAAATGTCATTTCATTTCTTATCATGATATGTAGTAAATGATAATAGTATTATCTGGAAAATTAGATTACAATATCATTACAATTCCAATGTCATTAAAAGAAGTGTGACAGCACATGTGGGGTAGGTTTATCGTCTTACCTCTATGTTTTTTTTTTCTTCCTCACAATATATATTGAGATTGAAAATTTGTGAGTGATAATATAGTTGTATGCTTAGTGTTTGCTCTCAGCCTTTCAGTGTTCAACCAAATCAATAAACTAGAATCAATCTTCGCTTGAAATTTGAGTCATCAAACTTTCCCAGTTACATAGATTTTTAATCTATGTCTTAGTTCAAATACAGTCATTTTTAGTTTATGAATATAATATTTTTGGAAGAATACAAGATAAATATTTGGAATGTGGTGTATAGCTTACATTTGGAACTGATACAGTTGATTTAGAAAGAGAAGAGTCTTTTGACATAATTACTGACTTATTTATAAAATTAACATTTTATACATTCTCACCACTTAAATACTGCTAGACTTAATAAACATTAAATTAATAAATTTAATTAATTTAGACATTAATTAAACATTTAATAAATGTTTAGAAATTTAGAAAATTAGTGTAAGTATAGAAAATTAGTTATCTAAGTGTTCTACAAATATATGTGAACTGACTATGGCAAGTTTAGAAAACATGAGCTCGACCCTGCTTGTGCCCCATTTCTTTTCTTTTTATCACTTTAAATTATGAGTGGGGGGGGGTATGTGCACATGAGTGCAGATGTCCAAAGAGACCAGAAGTGTGGGATCCTTCTGACATGCTTGAAAGACAGAACCGACTTCTTTACATTCTCCTCTGACTTCCTCACATGTGCCCATATACATATACTCACACATACATTATCAAGTAAATAATGTAGGTGTGTATGTATATCTTCATTTGCTAAGTTTCTTAAGTAGTTTGGTATACATTTCTTACCCAGTTTATGACCTCAAAATGAGTTTTTGTTTTTATTAAAAAAGGACTAAACTTTATTAACAAACTGTTGCAGGCATTTTGACATAAGTTTAAACTCTCTATTTAGGCAGACTTAACACATGTAGCATTTAATCTTCTGAGAACAAAATGGGAGGACAGTACAAATCCATTAGGACTTTAACTTATGTACAAAGTGAATTTCGATTCCATTTTCATTCAGCTGCAGTGTGCCTTTTATATCATGCTAGTGTTGAGACATACTTGACTTCGTTGGGAACAGCTCAAAATTGGCAATAATCAGTTTAATGCACATCATCAGCTTTTGACCCCAGTGTCCATGTGAGTTTTTCATGAAGTGCAGAATCTCAGATAAACAAAATCCTCTGACATTTTAAATACTGAAAATTTGATTATCAGTACTATTGATAATCTGAAAAGATTGTGGCTAAAAGGTACTACATCAAATTCCATTTAGGTGGTCAGCTCCTCTCCCCCATCATTCTTAGTCAACCCCCCCCCACTAAGTATCTCTCAACACTTTATGTCTGGGGCTAGGTTTCAAAACCCACATAATGAAAATGTCAGTTTTACAAACCTAATTTTGTTGTTGTTTTAAGTCAGTTAACGTTAAAAATTGTATCAACTATTTATTTCATGGGAATCTTTCGTATTAAAATTTAACCTTAAGATTCAAGCACCATGTGCTTTTAAAGGAAACACTTTTAGAGACACCTGAACTCACTTTTATATGGTGGCACCTACTGCCGTTAACATTGTGATTTTTACATCTTAAGCAGCCCTGAATTTTGAAATGTAGCCTAGTTTGGGATTCTGCAACTATGACTTTACAGGGTACCTCAAATCAAAACTAAGGAAATGTTAACAAGCCTTTGCTTCAGAACCTTTAAGCAAGCAATGCCACTTTTGAAACTAACATGTTTGTATGTGTGTGTTTTTACTCAACTTTTTTTTATTATAAAAGGTACACTGTTTATATTTAAACAACAAAGAAAAAAGCATCTACACACTTAAAAATTAATTTGATATCCTAAATCTGTTTTAATTCATTTTAAAATACTACATACAGAAGCCAGAATGCAGAGTCAATGGGACCAGGAAGAAAAATGCTTAGACAGTTACTTGTCTGTTGTGGGTAAAGCATTAGAAATCCTGAAATACAAGAAATCAGTAACAACTTTGCTCATAAGTGATGTTTTCCCCTCCTCTTTGTTTTTAATAACATTCATATGGGTGTTCTCTGTATGATCCATCCCTTCACTGGCCTACCTGGGGGTCCTTCAGTGATGGCCTGGTCCCATTCCAGTCATCTTGTTCATAAGCTTCATAAGAATCTTGAGGCTCCCCATGTCCATACCCATACTATTCTGACTCCCCTTGGCTCTTGGCTGTAATAGCCTTCCTATCCTTCATCACTCTGTTCTGTGTATGTATCATATCTCCACAGTCTTCCTAGGTTTCTGGTGCGGGTGCTGGAAGTAAAGGTATTCTCTGGGTGCCTGCTGTCTGAGCTCGTGCTGTTGGGCACCTCTCACTGAGGACTCTTGAACCAAAGCCCCTCGAGGTGGCTCAATACCACGGCCTTTGGGAACAGGTGGAAGAGGCGGGGCAGCTTCTTGTTCTCTCACAGGTACCCCACGGCCACGAGAGGGTTCAGGAACTCCATTCAAGTAAGAGTTCTAGAAACTGCTCCTGGCAGATATCATTCATTGTATCTGGTACTAGAAATTACTTGACTTCCTCCATGGCATGGGCCATAAGAGCAATAAGCCTCACAGGGGGGCCCAAAGACTTCAATGAAGACATGCAGATCCATATTTAAATGGGCATATTTGGGGTGTCTGTCCTTGTGAAGCTCTTCTTCCTTGGCTTTGTCTCTCATTGAACAGAGATCTTTGCACCAACCTCTTTCTGAAGTCTTTTGATTGTATTTCCTTGTGGTCCAAGAATCTTCCCCACAAAATTGAACTTTGGATCCTGCTTGACAAGTATCAGTACCCGTTCTTTCAGTTTCATGTTCTTATGAGAAAACAAATCCAAATAATTCTCCTTGTCATTTCTTTTTGACTCTCCCTTCTGAATCTTCTCAATTTCTATGGACAAGAGCTGCATGGTGTGAGTGAAAGACAGGTCGAGGGAGTCCTTCTCAGCCATGAGTTCAGGCAGGTACTTACTCTCCAGCCCCATCTTGGGGCTCCATCTTGGCCCTTGGCCGCAGCTGTGGCTGACAGGTGCGGAACTGACTGGACTAGTCACTTTGGGACCCGTGGCTGAGGGAGGTAGCAGCGACGTGGCGGGCAAGGCCCGTATTCCCCCTCTAGGTCCACCTCTGCCTCTCCGAACCATTGACCGGTGTGGCAGTAGTGATGGCCAAGTCGGGGTCTGACACACCGAGGGGTGACACCTGAAGGGTCCATGGAGCCGTTGAGGCCTGAGGACCGAATCGTGCGCGTGCGCGTCTGGGGTGTTCTTGCGCTGCATGGGGAGAATGTGTGGCACGCGAGGGAGGAAGCGATGCAATGCTGAGGCAGTTGACTGGGATGAAAAAGCGGGCGCGAGAGCTACTGAAGGCGACCCAGCGAGAGAGCGCTTTGGTTTTTTGTTTTTTCCATTTGGTTTTCTTAGATACTAGCGGTGAAATTGCAGGCTGTGCCATGGTCTCCCCAGTGGAGCCTTGCTTGAAACCTCTGGATGATGCTCGAAACCTCTGGCTTTGCACTTGTATTCAAGTCCTAATGCTTAATGATTAATTGATTTTGGAAACATTGGGTGTTTTAACATACTGATCTTTTTCTTAAAAAGCCTGTATATTTTATTTGTGTGCATAGTGTTAATTAGTATGAAATGAGAATATCTGATTATATTTTGTTTCACAGGACCTACAGCTGGAAGAATTGAAGCAGCAAGTTTCTACTTTGAAATGTCAAAACGAACAGCTTCAGACTGCAGTCACACAGCAGGCGTCTCAGATTCAGCAGCACAAGGATCAGTATAATCTCCTTAAAGTCCAGCTTGGTGAGTGAAGGTGTCCAGGTCACTCTGTTCTCAGCTGGACAGATAGAGTCTCTGTGGACCTGTTGTTCCTGAACCATAACCACGGTGATGAACACTGAAGTTAGAACTTAATGCAGAAAGACCCTTAAAGACAGAGAGATCCAGTCTCGATAACTAAGACCAGATCTTTTCAGTTTGAAGTCCAGTCTTTAGCTTCCTGCTTGATTGTCTGACCCAGTGACTGTTGACCCTGGTGACACAGTTTTGACTCATGATTACAAGCTCCCCAGATGAGCCTAAGGCATAGGCTATTTGAGATTGGTTGATAGAGTATTTCAGTGCTTCAATTCCAAAGTTGAAAACACTGTTGATATCATCTGAAAACTAAATGAAATACCCTCTCTCTATAAAGTTCTAGTTCAGTACCAGGCAGATAGGTAAAAAGTCACATCTCTCATTTTCAAAGGGTGGTTTTCGTATAAGTCGCTATTGTCTGTGGCTATACATGGGCATTTGGGTGCTGCTAGGGTCTGGACCTGACCTCGTAAACCCTCCTTTACTTGGCAAGAGGGAAGCACCCCTGTGATCACCCTGCTGGTTTCCTGGGCTAAAAAGACATCCACTGGAGTCTTGTGTGATCTTATATTACAGTCTTGTAGTCCCAAAGACGGAAAGCTTGTTTGATAGCAGCTTTCAGTGTTGTGCGTGTTTAACAGGAAAAGACAATCACCATCAAGGTTCCCACGGTGATGGGGCTCAGGTGAATGGCATCCAGCCAGAAGAAATCAGTCGGCTGAGGGAAGAGGTGGAAGAGCTAAAAAGTCAGCAGGGGCTCTTGCAAAGCCAGCTAGCTGAAAAGGACTCTTTGATAGAAAATTTGGTGAGTAGATGTTGAAAAAGAGATGTAAATAAGATCAAGAGTAATTCTCATCATCTTGTTTGCTTTTGGGTTTATGTGTTTGTTTTGTTTTGAGACAGAGCTCACTGTGGAAATCACAGGTGTCTTGAGTGCTAGGTTGAAAATTATGTACCACCATCCCGAGCCCTGTTCTTACTTTCACAGTCTCAGCCATCACAGGTGATCTTGAATTCCTGACCTTCCTGCCTTCACCTTCCAAGGGCTGGAATCACAGATGTGTGTCTCCAAGGCTGGCGTGATGCTTCTAAACTCACTGTGTAGACCATGTTGGCCTTGAGCTCACAGAGGTCTCCCTGCCTCTGCCTCCTGAGTGCTGGGTTAAAGATGAGCACCACTGCACAAGCTCCTTTACTTTAGAGAAATGGTTTTCTCTTGAGACAGCGTCTCTCTGTGCAGCCCTGGTTTCCCTGGGGCTTGCTGTCTAGATCAGGCAGAACCCACTACTTCTGCTAGGATTAAAGGCTTGCTTTTTTTCTTTCTTTCTTAAATGATGGGGATTATTTCTTTAAAAATGATGGTGTGGTTTAGAGACTCTGTGTGTGTGTGTTTGTGTGTGTGTGTTGTTCAGGCAAGGGCACTCAAGCCTCAGAGTGGAGGTCAAAGGACAGTTTTCAGGAGTTGATTCTCTTCTTTGGCTGTGTAGGTCTCAGGAGTCAAAGTCTTATTGTCAGGCTCGATGAGAAGTACCTTTGCATGCTGAGCCATCTCACTGACTTCTCACACTTAAAATGAGATAGCTTTTTCTAATGAGGAAGTACTTCAGGAAATATCTGTTTTTATGATTTTATCCCTTACTACTTCGGGTACTTGTTTAGATGTAATGACTCACTTGGGGTAAGTGTAACATCTGAAGCTGAGGGAAGCTACAGACAGTCAGCAAGCGCTGTGTTGAAATAGAATCTTAAATAAAAAAATTAAAATCTTCGTGTGAAATCTTTTGGTGAGCTTCTGTAAGACTTGCTGTGTGTGTCCTTCTGCTTTGGCTTTCCTTTCTCTCTAGATGACTTACTTCACAGTTTGTTCCTCTGCTAATTGTAGAAATCTTCGCAAGTGTCTGCTGGGAATGAACAGGCGTCAGCAGCAGCTTCACCCAGAGATTCCGAGCAAATCGTAGAATTAAAACAGGTAATTTTCTAGTTTGAGCCCAGTTCTGTTTTGTCTTCTTTCAGTTCCAGTAGAGTAAAACCCGGCAGCTGTGTTGTTCTAGAGCTCCATTGCCAGGAGTAATAAAATTTGGTAATTAAGACAGCTTTGAAGATCTAGAAGGCATGTTTACCTTGACAATAATGTTGTTTCGTCTTTTATTGGTTGGTTTTAAATTTCTTACATTTATTTATTTTGTGCTGTAAATGTGTGCACATGCACATCTGGAAGTCAGGACAGCTTGAAGGAGTTGGTTCTCTCCCTCTACCACAAGGGTCCTAGGCTTGGTTTTAGGAAGTCAGCTACTGAGTCATATGGCTAACCCAGCTTCTCTCCTGAGTTTCCTTTTTTGCTCCCTCTTTTCTGTTCTTCTTTCTTTCTGTGATATAAAGGAATGCTTGCTTATTTGGAAAGAGAAATGACCAGAAGTCAAGCTATGCTGCCGTGCTGCCTGAGAGGGGTGACTTGAGGTGCCTTACATCACCAGCATCTCACACTTCTCAGAGCTTACGTTATGTGCACCAATGTTTTGCCTGCATAAATGCATGAGCGTGAACATATGTGTGCCACATACATGCAGTGTTCACAGAGTCCCAAAGAGAGCATCCAATCCCCTGGAACTGGAGCTGCAATGTGGGTGCTGGGAGTCAATCTCAAATGCTCTGCAAGAACAGCAAGTGCTCTCAGCTACTGAGCCACCTCTCCAATTACTCGGACCTTATCTAAAGGTCCGAGTATTTTCAAATCAGTTGTCCTTTACAGTCTTTAGGTCTCTAGCATTTGTTCACAATATTGCTTGTGTAGGCAAGGTAAATGTACTATTTTGGTTTTGCTGAGTTTGCCAATACTAAAATATTAATTTAGAACAAATTAAGTTATTAATATGTCACTTTACTTTGGAAATTCCAAATAAAATGTTTAGTTATGCTTCCCAATGAAACTTTGATAGAATACTTTTTTTAATTGCCTTTTAGTGTTTTCACTTTCCCTAGTTTTCCTTTGTAAGTGTATGCGTGCCTGCATACATAAGTATGTGTGTGTAGTGGCTTTTGGGTTTAGTTGTTGTTTTAAGGCAGGGTCTCTCTATATAGCCATGGCTGTTCTATAGCTTACTATTTAGACCAGGCAGGCCTTAAGCTCACAGAGATCCTCCTGCCTTTTCCTCCCAAGTGCTGGAATTAAAGGTGTGTACCATCATGCCCAGCAAATATACAATTTTTTAAATGATGGCTGTATAGGGTTTTATAGCAACATAGGGATTTTTGTTGGGGGTGTTTTTTTGTTTTGTTTTTTGTTTGTTTGTTTGTTTTGTTTTGGGGGGGATTCGAGACAGGGTTTTGATGTAGCCCTCAAGCCTGTTCTGGACCTAACTCTTGTGGACCAGACTGGCCTCAAACTCAGAGATCCACCTGCCTCTGCTTACCGAGTGCTGGGATTAAAGGCATGTGTCACCACTGCCCAGCTTAGCAACATAGGGTTTTAATTATTATATTTCACAAACTGCTGCATAGGAACAGGGGAGATGAGTCAATAGGTAAAAATGTTTGCTACACAAGCATGAGAACTTGAGTTTGAATCCCCAGCACCCACTTCAGAGAAAAGCAGGCATGGTGTCACGTGCTTGTAGGACAGGGAAATCCTAGCTGGGGGATGGCCAGTCTAGCCAAAACACAAAACAGCATGCTCCAGGTTCAGTGAGAGACTGTCAGAAAATAAATGGAGACCAAGAGGAGGATACCCAGTGCCTCTGGCCTCCACACAGGCCCCAAAGGCGGCATTCTCTTCCCCCCCACACACACACACTCACACCATGTACACATGAAAACAATCCATAATATCACTGTATGCATATTATTTTGATAATTGGGAATAGGAAGCAATTACAGAAGAGGTGTGTGTGTACACGATGGGCATAGGAGGCAGAACAGGACAATCACTAGTCACGTACTGTAGCTCAACAGCAGACACATCTCCCGACTCTGCCTGAAGTCCTGAGGGGCACAGAGCACCACTGCATGGGAGCTACCATTTTAATTGCTTCTCTAGCATTGTACTTGGGTGGAGGAGGGCAATAAACATTAGAAAGTTAAACAACATAAACTCTAATTTCTTGCCTCATTTTCATGGTAGCACTGCTGCTATCATGTTTTGTTGCCCTTAACCTAGAGCTGTCCAGCTCTCTCTGCAGTTGCAAATACCAAGTCTGTAGGCTTCAGCCAGGAGTAGTGAGACACATGAGCACTGGCAGTGGTCTGGTGGCTCTCTCTTGAATAGACTTTGAACCAGCCCTCAGTGTTTAAGCCCCATTTTCACTGTTCTTAAGACATTTAAGGGCACCAGGAGATGACAGATTCCTTGTAAATCAGGAGCCAACTTTGCTTTCTCTGTGGTCAGGCTAACCTTCAAGTTTCCCAGTGTGTTTCCTTCTGAAATTCTCCAGGCTCATTTTGTGTTCTTATGCCCACCTGCCTGTCTGATTTCCTTTCTTCCCTTGTTCCTCCCTTTATGATTTTCTTTGGGGGGGGTAGCATGGGGAGAACATACAGGGTCTCAAAAGGCAACAGAGATAAACAAATGTGTTTCATTTTCCATCTTTAACCTAACATAAAGAGTAGCTCTCTAGAATTAAATTTTAAAACTTGGACATCATCATTTCTTGAGGATAGGGTCAAGGAAGAATTTTCCCTGTAAATGGACATTTTCTGTTTTGTCACAACTCTGCTCTTATTCTCAGGAACTGACAGCGCTGAAGTCCCAGTTAAACTCACAGTCTCTGGAGATCACCAGACTCCAGGCAGAAAACCGTGAGCTTCTACAGAGAGCAGAAGCCTTGGTGAGTCGTCTCTGTCTCTCTTCCTCTCTTTCTTTTTTTGTTTCCTTTTTATTACTGTACAGATTCATTAAGTTAGTGAATGGTTTATTTTACTGGTGTAACATCCATTTCCATCACTGTTCATCCAAGCTGACAGCTTCCCTACTGCTATAAAATTATCAGAATCCCATGCACTTCACCAGAGTCAAACCAACACCCAACAAAGCCCCCACAAGTGCCTCATGTCTGTGGGGTACCCCCACAAGTATCTCCGGTGTCTGCCGAGTGGGTTGGTTGCACCCACACGTGTAATCACTTATTTAAAGGCGATCCTAACTCCCCCACCCCGTCCTTTCTCCAGAACATATTTTCTCATATTTTGCAATCTGGGTAGTCTGAAAATTCCAAGTTTTCATTTTTACATGATCATTTGTAATTTCTCTCTTCTCTTACATTACATTCTCCTGTAAGCTGCAAAGACACTGGACTGCACAGTGGTCCTTCGTTTAGGGTGCCAGCTGTGTACGTTTCAGTTTCAGTTACTCACATGTGCCCGGCATAATGATGGCTGAGTTAGATCCCAGCTGGGGCAGTGTTCAGGACACATTCCAACACAGATATGTACACCAACAGACTGAACGGTCAATTGATCTCCATTCTCCCAAAATACTAGGCCACAATCCTGCCAGGTTCTTTGCTGCTCATAACAGGGATTATCTTTCCTCTAATTCTCAATAACTTGCTTTCCGTTTCTCTCTGTGACGTCACCAGAAGCACATTTAGCTTTTACACTTCTGCTAACAACCTCTAATGTATGTGCACAAAGCTAAAAATAATAAATCCTTTGCATAATTGCCTTTACTGTTCGTATTTCTATCAACAGTTTCTTGGAAGTGACTTAGGCTTTGTCTGATGTGCATCCACAACCCCATCCATTACCCTGTCCCAAAGCCACTTTCCCATTTCTAGGCATTTTTTTAGTCAATACCCACTCCCTGGTATTTATGGAGAAAAGATGGGCACTAAAATGTCTTGGTTCATATAACATTTAAAATGCTTGTATATCACCAGCTGATGGCATTTGGGTGAGTTTAACACCTGGGGTGACAGTTGTGGACTTAGCCAGGGATGTTAAGAGGTAAAGAGTCAGGCTGAGCCCTGATCCTAGTGTTTTGTGGACTGACCTTGACACTGTCCTTCCTGTTCTCTGATTGGGTGTAATGCCATCACGGTGGGACAGCTTGTCTGTCACAGACCATTTCATTGCTTTCATATAAAAACACGAGTTTTGCTTTCTGTCATTTGAAATAAAACTTCAAAACAGCAAGAAAATGTACACACAGAATTTGTATCTTTTGTAGTTTAAAAAGACTTTTTTTTCAAACTTGTGTTTTCAGGCAAAATCAGCCCCTGTTGAGGGAGAGAATGAGAATGTGGCCACTGCTAAAACTACTGATGTAGAAGGAAGACTGTCTGCCTTGCTGCAGGAGACGAAAGAATTAAAGGTTGGTTTGGGTAAAACTGCTACTTAACCATACATAATATGAGATAAATTCTGGAAAACCTGGCTATTTCATTTCATGTCTGAACCTCTTAGCCTTAGAAAGAAAACTGGAAACTAGGGTTTTGTCTTGCTTTCCAGGCTGTGGTTTCTCTGTAACCCTGACTGTCCTGGAACTCTCTCAGTGACAAGACTGCCCTTGAAAGCAGAGATTCACCTGCCTCTTTCTCCCAAGTGCTGGGATTGAAAGGTGTGTGCTGCCACCACCTAGCAGGTTTTCTCACCAACATCAGTGTTTAGTCACACCAAAATGAAGGCAGCAAATTTGGGTAATACTAAAATTATACATATAGCCAGACATGTTGGTGCACAGCCTTAATCCTTACTTAGTACTGAGGCAGAGGGCCATGAGTTCCGGGCCAGCCAGGCATGCACAATGAGACTGCCTCAGAAAACAGAATGACATACAGACTTCCGTAGGGCTGAGAAATGCTGGCAGACCTGTCAGAGTAGGTAACATGAGGAAAGAATCGGCACATTCATAAATCTTGAAAGAGAAAGATGAAGTAGACTCTTTGGATTGTATTTAAGTTATTTATGTTGTGATTTTATTTGAAACTATTCTTTCCATTTAATTCTCAGAATGAAATGGGACTTGAGTTTTGAGTTCTAATTCTGGTGCCAGCCAGCTTCTGTACAATGTTATCTCAGGGTTTGGGCAAGGATGGCTAAGGTTTGGCCGTTCTACTTTGTTCATTGGGGCTTTCTTTGCTAAGTAGGCTGGCAGATTCCCTGACTGTATGTTTTAAACTTAAGTACCTTCAGTTCCCACACCAAGCTTCAGGTTGATCAGTTGTCACATGCTAGTTACCTTTACCTTCCTGTGAGCAAACATCCTGAGAGAAGAACTCTGAGAGGCTGAGGGTCATCTTGGGTAATGGTTCACATGTCTCAGTCCATAGCAGCTGGGAGTGCAAAGGCTCCTCACAGCGTGGCGACCGGAATGTGAGGTCGCCAAACGTTAGCAGATCAGAGAATGGCAGCTCCAGGCAGACCCACCTAAACCATCGCCCACGATGATTTGTCACTGATAGAAACTACCGTGAGCTTTGGAAGTGAATATTGACTTTAGATCACTGCTTGTCACTGTTCTTCTAGAGTGAAATTAAAGCTCTGTCTGAGGAGAAAACTGCCATTAAAATGCAACTGGATTCATCTAACAGCACCATCGCCATTCTGCAAATGGAGAAAGACAAGTTAGGCATAGAAGTGACAGATTCTAAGAAAGAACAAGATGATCTCTTGGTACTGTTGGCCGATCAGGATCAGAAAATTCTGTCACTGAAGAGTAAACTCAAGATCCTCGGTCATCCAGTAAGCCTGAAATATTTCCACAAGGGTTCTGTGTTTGTAAAGTGTGTTCCTAAGTTTAATGCTTCATGGGAAAGTTGTGTCCTATGTTAGCCTTAGCAATGTGGGGTTGAACACAGTATTACCTGTTTTTCTCACTGTTCAGTGAGTTGGTCTGAGAAAAATCAAATTCTCTTTGCAGTATTTGAAGACCTTGAGCCTAGAAAATAGTTAATTTTATTGCTCCTCGACCACAATCAGGGGTGGGTTCTGTGATCATTATTTTACCACAGTGGGTTCAGACTCAGACAGGAAAGTGTGACCATTTATTGTGAAAGTTAACTGACTAGCATTACCCATTCATGTTAAAAATGTCAGGGAGCCTGAGCATTATGAAGTCAAGGAAATCTGATCTACTATGACAGATTAGTAATATTAGTAATTAATATGTGTTAAACAGGCACGTATTTATTTGTATGTATTATTATGTGTGTATATTGAACAAATCTGTATTTTCCCCTTAGGTTGAAGAAGAAGATGAATCTGGAGACCAAGATGATGATGACGATGAAACTGATGATGGTGACAAGGACCAGGACATCTAGCTTAAACCCTAGGAGTGATAAAGATTATGTCATTACTTTGAACAAGTCTTAAGACAGTGCTTTGGTTTGCCGCCTCCACAAAAAAATTTAGAACCAGGCAGAAAGAATTCACTAATAAAATTATTGTTTGTTTTTTAATATTGCCTCCCATGTGGGAAACTTTAAAACTCTAACTTCATGTGGAAGTTTTATTTATGTTCATCTGAACTCTCCCAAAATATAATCTGCAAAGAGCATCAGGCTCCAAAAATAGACCATTTGAAGGTGTGTGGTGGTGATGTAGTCAGCCTTATTGGTTCATTAGGCATGGTGGCAATGCAGTTGGCCTTATTGGTTCACTGGTTGCTTTTCAGAATCTGTGACTTCAGTCCTAACACATTTGATTTAATGTGTATTGAATGGGAACCAACTATTTCTAAATCAGCATTTGAGTTCTCACCTTATTATTTCCTTGTAAAGAAAGGACTCTACTTAAAGATAAAATAGCCTGGGCTCAGGGGTCGTGTGTGCCATCACCCACCCACCCCTAGTGTGCCTTTCAGAAGAGCAGGATGGGGCAGTTTAGAGTGAGTGCCATCCAACAGGGCCACATTCTGCCTTCGGAAGAAAGGAAAGACTGTGCCCGGGCATGGAGAGCTGTTCTGAGAAACTACACAGTGGAGTAACGTGGCTGCTTTTCTTTCTGTCTAAGCTCAAGATGGAAAACAGATGATAGTCAGCAGTTAACACAGCTGGGATTTATAGCATTGTTGGATTATCATAAAACATGTTCTTAGTTTTAAAAATACCCAAACTATGATTTATATAATTTATTGGCATTTTTGCTGAATAGGTGTAAGTCAGATAATAGATTTTTAAAAAGCAAATGAAGCAATGTGTCAAAGTCTAATGTTTTCATAATAAAAATAGATATTATGTTCACTTAATCTCTGTCATGTTTCGATTTTAATGAAGTATTTAGTTCCTCATAAGTAGTAAATGAAGTGCTAAAGAGACGTCTTGCCTTAGGCACTATCCTGTTGCTGTAAAGAGCCATCATAACCGAGGCAGCTCTTACAAAACAAAGTATTTAATTGGGGACCGGCTTAGCATTTGAGGGGTTTAGTCCTTTGTTATCATGACGGGGAGCATGGCAGCACGCATGACACCAAAGCAGCAGATGGAGCTGCATCCTGATCCAGACCAAGAGAGGCCCTGGGCCTGGCATGGGCCACTCTCATGTCCACCCCCCAGTCCTTCTAATCCTGTCTGATAGTGCCACTCCTTGGTGACTACGCATTCAAATGCACGCGTCTGTGGGGCCGTTCTCATTCACACCGCCACACTTCTGTCTGTCAGGAGCAGTCTTACCATGAGAGCCAGTGGCCAGGGTTCTGTAAAATTGAAAGAGACTAGTGGAAGCAGTTGCTAGAGTGGAAGAGGCAATTTAGAGTGAAGTTTGGGGTTTGGGTTTTTACTACTGTCTGGGGACCAGTGTCCCAGGAACACAGGGCATTGATAGGAATTCGTGGAATCGACAAATCTAGAATTTTCTATCTGAGGGGGTAGGGGAAAAGACACAAATTCTCTTAATGATCTCCTTTATTCTCTTCTCTCTCTCTCTCTCTCTCTCTCTCTCTCATGTTTTTTCACAGCTTTTATACCCCAACAGAGTCTTCCAGACAGTACAAGGGTCAAAACGATTCTATTCCGTTTCTCAAGTGAATGATTATAGGTAAAAACATGGTTTTCCATCTCCCTCACATGATTAAACATTTTACATATTACAGGTGAAAACAAAGTATCCCAAGAACCCACATACATTCATACCCAAGCAACTCATTACAGATTAACTGTGTGGACAAGCAAAGTGTTCTTGTCAGGTCCTTTACTGGCAGGCTGCATTTTGCACTTACAAAGAAAGGACCAATTATTTTATTACTTATCTTAAAAGGTAATCTTAGAAGGAATCGTAAAGAAATCACAAACCTAAACTTTTATATGTGGAAAAGAATCACTCAACTCTACTTTAAGTCTTTAGGGTGCATATTCATTCATTAATAGTTTTTTTACATCAGGAAATTGAGAACAGAAATGGGTATAAGGAATTGATCATCACCTTCGGTCATCAACCAAACCTAGCAAGGAGAGCACGTCAGCCAGTAATAATTGGGCTGCTTTGTTCTTGTTCCCTGACCTTAAAGAGTTCTGCACTCAACTGTGTGCCTGTCTGAAATTTTAGATTGTCTTCTTGGGTTTTTCACCTAAGAGTTGTTCAACAAAAACATCTTAGACTAACTCGTTATTTTCACAACTTTGTTTTAGCTGTGATGCACTCCAAACCGAACACATCTGACATTAAGGTTAAAAGAATTTAAATTAGCTGGGCTACTGGGACTCAATTGTTAGTCATTATCTTGAGTGACAATCCATGCGATTCCTTAGGTGAGACTCACAGACCCTGGCTGGGAAACATATCCTTGTATTTATTTTTATTCATTAAAAGTCTGTATAAGCTATCAGTATTGTTATCAAATTAAACAGTACAACTTAGGGAGGGGCCATCTTCTTGGCAATCCACAGGTAAAAATCCCAGTAGAACAGGATTCCAAGAGATAAACACTATATTACAGGCAGTGGAGATCTCCCCATGTCCACTCACACCATGCAGCATACCAGAGAAACAGAGCAGCAGAAGCAAAAGACATCCTGAGGTCTCTAGTCCCGTGGCCTTGCCTAAACGAGATTGGCTCATCACAGGATTCCCTTCTGCTGGCTGACACCTGGAACTTCAACTCACTGTTCCTCTGGCATGGCCAATGGCAGGGTTTTTCCCCCTCTTCTCATTTTTAATTGTTCCTTGAGAATTCTGTACAATGTGTTTTGTTCATATTTACCTACCTCCCCTAACTCCATCAAGATCCACAGCTCCTTCTCTACCTAGCCAACTTTTCCACTCACCAAGTCCAGGACTAGACCATCAGCCTGCCTATGGGGCTCTCACTAGACCATCATCCT